CTTGTGAGTACTTAGGAAGAAAATAAAGAGGAGTAAGCAGGCATAATTCTTATATCCCAGCAACTCCCAACTTTGAGAGAGAAGAAGGGTGTTGTAAACCTAAGGAAGTAGACACACCAATGGGGGAAAAGCCTTAGGAAACGTATTCTGGGTCACAAAGGAGTTGGGAGTAGAGAAGGCGCATTGAAATACTGGAGGTGCTGGGAGGGGTGCTTTGATGGGGTGGGAAACTGTCACAAATTTTCCCACTACTCCCTCCAAATATGTCATTTTATTTTTCCTTATCACTGTCTCCTACTTCATATTCGTCTCTTATTTCATTGCCCTCAACTTACACCGGCCACTCGCCACCCCACCAGTAGGCTAATGTCCTATAACATTATTAACTGAACCAATGAACTCAAGATTTCCAAAGTGATTCTCAGACAGGAGTGGAGGGGAATTGAGGATGAAAGTCACCTGCAGAACTTTTCAAACCTCTACAGAAGGGTTCAAGATGGTAGAGTGATCCCAGGATTTTACTTTCCTCCTTTCCAGATGTCCACATTGACATTCTTATAAAGATGTAGCAACAGAAATGCGTCTGCAACCAAAGGGGAAAAGGAGGGCAGACAGGGCCACTGTGCTGGCTGTGTGACAGCAGAGATGTGTGAGCTCACAGTCAGTCTGGGGAAGAGGGTGTCTGGTGGAACGGGGGGGAGGGGCAGTTCTGCCCAGAGAGACCCCCCCTGAGCTCGAGCAGGAGAGTGTGGAGAGCAGAGGGATGGGGCAGTGTTCAGCGCTGGCTGGGTTTATGAAGAGGCTGTGAAGAGTTGTTTTCCAGAAAGTACCTTTATCAGTGTATAGTCGAGTTATAAAGACTATGGTTTCCAACTGCTTCTTGTATGTTACCACTCACATGAAACTCTTACCCGTATGAGCAATAGTTGCAAAGACCTTATGGCAGCGGTTCTCAACCTGTGGGTCGCGACACCTTTTGGGGTCAAATGACCCTTTCACAGGGGTCACCTAAGACATAACAGTAGCAAAATTACAGTTATGAAGTGGCAACAACAATAATTTTATGGTTGGGGGTCACCACAACACGAGGAACTGTATTACAGGGTCGCGGCGTCAGGGAGGTTGAGAACCGCTGCCGGATGGAGAGGCGGTGGCTGTGTGTTCTGAAGAAAACCTCCCTGCGGAGACCACGGACCTCTCCTTGGTACTTCAAAATGATTGAGCGAAAGAAACCTTGACTTGGACCCTTTTGTAAAATAAACAGTGACCCTCTAATGCACATTATTTTACAAATCCAAATGTTCCTTTTCCTTCTCTTTTGCTTGCACTCCCACGGCTACTGGTGGGGGTCCAGGGATGAAACCCCGCCACCCCTCTGGGGAAAGAAGGATGAAAGCCCCCCAGTGTCTACAGGACACGCAAGACTCCGTGGAGGTGTTTCCACTCAGCTTTGCTCCAAAATGCTCACCTAGAGCGCGAGCCGGGAGGCATTCAGTGACGTTGTCCCCAGCACTCGTCACATCGTGGCACGGAGGAGATGACAGTGGCATCGTTAGGTTATTGGAAGGGTCTGGCCTTCCAGACGAGATGACTCTCAGCAGAAGGAGGCGCTGGACGTTGTGCCTCTCTCCAGCCCCCAGCTGCCCACGGAGCCAGGAAAGCAGTGTCCAGGCCCTCGGGCTGAGAGGGGTCATTGTGGGAAGTGGGACCCTCTGTCTCACTGCCCTTTAGTAGCTTAAAAGTCAGTTACAAATGCAGACAGAGATGGAGAGCGTGGGGGACGGAGAGGGAGGGAGGCCTGAACTGAAGGAACATGATCCTGAGAAGTGGAGATGTGGGTGGGAAGGGTGTGCTTGGTGCCGTGGCGGGAAGAAGGGTGTGCCCGGCGCCATGGCGGGGTGGGAGGGGGGTTGGGGGGAGGGTGTGCCCGGTGCTGTGGCGGGCGGGAGGGTGTGCTTGGTGCCGTGGTGGGGAGGGTGCCTTTGGAGCAGAGACCGGGCGTGGATTTCAGCGCCACTCTCTCTGGGACGGCTGACAGGTTTGATCCTCCTCTCTGTTCCCTGTTGTGAAGTGAAGAGGAATAATACCTGATTTTCAGCTTTATAAAGATGACTAGGAATGCCGGGAAAATACCTGAGCTATAGAAACCAGAATCATTTAGCTGCAACGATTATGAAGAGCTAGACTGTAGAGGACGCCATTCGGCATCACAAGGAATGAAGCCATGCCGAGCATGCGAGGCCTCCAGACCGACAGCCCCGTCCGTCTAGACAACCCTTCCACGCCACTCTTCTCTCCCTTTCCTTTCCTTCGTGCATTTCTTCATGCCTGATTCTACAGACAGCTTAAGGGGATACAGCTGGTGAGGCCCATGAACCTCATTTTAGAGACCATTCCATCACACCACCCAACTTGACAATGGATTTTTTTATTCTGGACAAGATCTTCTCTGGCCCTAGGAGAACTTTCTCCCTCCATTCGATCCATGTATTGATTGTGGCCTGTCCCTGTCGAGGGACACCTTTCTGCACCGTGATGTGCTCTGCATAGTCTCATGCTTTTGGATGCGCGGTGGAAAGATGAGCCTGGCTGTTCTTCCGTCTCAGTGGGGTATTGCCGTCCTGGATAAGTGGGTTGCCCTGAGGTTCTCGAGTCCTAGCCGAGCCCATGGCACGAGATGCCACGCTTTCCCTTTCAGAGATAGCAAACGTTATCTCTAAACAGATGCTGTTGGAATTTGGCACAAGGGACCAAAGGATATGTTTTAGTTAATGTTTGAGAGAGAGAATACAGGATGTTGACCTGCAAAGGACAAGGTCTTTCAGGACTGATAGCAGTTGGCGCCGGCTGGTTCGCTCAGTGGTTAGAGCATTGGCTTGAAGACCAAGAGTCATGGATTTGATTCCAGTCAAGGGCACAAACCTCAGGTGCAGTTTGGTCTCTGGCCCTGGTTGGGTTCATGTGGGAGGCAACCAATTGATGTGTCCCTCTCACATTGATGTTTCTCTCTCTCTCTCCCTCACACTCTATCTGAAAATAAATGGATAAATATCCTCGGATGAGAGTTACAACAAAAAAGAATGACAGCAGTAGGGTCAGAGGAAGAAGGGCTAAAGGCAGTGACGTCAGTGCCACAGGTCAGTCTAGAATCAGAACTGTCCCTAATGAAGGACAACGGCCTGAAATGCAGGCACTGAGGGAGATTTCTGGAAAGGACTGCATGCGAGACATAATTCTCATTTGAACGTGGTCTGTGCCTTCCTGGTCAGAGACTAAGGGAGCCAGCACAGTGGCGCGGGTGACACCGCCAATCCCGGTGGCCCTGCTGCGATGGTCGTCATTTCTTCCTCTCCCCAGGTCCTGTGGCTGCATAGGTCATAACACTCAGGAACACTTAGGAATGTGGGACTTGATTCCATGATTTGAACATTTGCTGTGTTTCTGTGCCCTGTATCTAGACCGGTGATGTCAATACCCATCCCTCGGAGCAGTCCGGTGGACCTTGGGGCACAGGCTTCTCTGTAGCTTCCCATATCCCAGAGACACTGAATGAGTGTGTGTGACTGCCTAACCTTCCCATTAGTGAGAAGATACTTTGAAGTCCAATTCTTGGTGGATCTTGGAAGCATTGTAGAGGTGCTGTGGTTTGTTTGGCAGGAAGCTCTGAACCGGGCACCACGCATGCTGTTTCCAGGTCCATGGAGGGAGAATACCATCCATGGAGCCATGCCTCTGGGTCTATTTTGTTCGTCAGTGTATTTTGTTCATTAGATTTGTGGACACCATGCCTTAATATTTTTGCCTAATAAAGCATGTTTACTATAGCTTGCAAGCCTATAACAGGCTCACTGTTTCTGAAACATGGTTGCATATCAGAACCCTCTGTGGAGCTTAACAAATAGTCAGAGGTGCAGGCTTTGGAGATGCTGATTAAGTAGGTTGGGACAGTGGGAAGGTGACCCCGTTGTGATGGCTGCTGTCAGTACTTTCTCTGACAGATGTTCCACAGCTGAACATCTGATTTAAACTTCTTGACGACGTTTCTGACCCCTTGCTAAGATTCACAGTGAGTCTATAGGTAAATGTGTAATTTTTGTATGTTTTTTTACATTGAAAATCATCAAGGTCTCCTTGGGGACTCTACAGGTAGTCACAGGTCAAGGGGATGCATAAGGTCCCTTCTGGTCTAGGAGTCTAGGTTAAATTTCACTAGTGTTCATCTAAATTATGGTTTCTAAATCCTCTTCCCACTAAAAAGAACAAGGGCCCCTTGCCGTTGTTGGTTTGGGACTAGGAGCAGGAAACCACACTATGAGCCGAGGTTATGCCAGAAAGCAAGGGACCTATCCAAGGCTCCGGGAATCACCCTGAAGACACTCCCACTGGGTAAGGACAGGACAGTGTGAGCATAAGTAATGATAATAACATCAAAGGATTAGTATGGATAAAATATGTTTAATCTATGAATTCATAAAGACCCTGGACAAGTAATCTCACTGTTCCCCTTTAGAGAATGCGTGGAAATCAGCTCCTAATTTTGAAAACCAGTCAATAAAGGGTCAAACATTTATCTTACCTTTCCTATATGAATTGTACCTTTAGGAACCAAATAAGAGATGAGGGGGAATTTCTCCCTAGAGCAGCGGTTCTCAACCTGTGGGTCATAACCCTTTAGGGGTCGAATGACCCTTTCACAGGGGTCGCCTAAGACCATCGGAAAACACATATTGCCAATGGTCTTAGGAACCGAGACACCGCTCCTCTATCCGTCTCCAGGCGGGTCCGCCCACATGCAGATGCGCCCACAAACAACATGAGGAACTGTGTTAAAGGGTCACGGCCTTAGGAAGGTTGACAACCATTGCTCTAGAGGAATAGTCTCTCCAGTAAAGAATGGCAGAATGACAGCATCATCATTTCACAGCTCCTACTGAGATAACCTAACTGCTACCAGGAAAACACAAGTATTGGCAATGTAACATTGTTTCCTCCTTGTATAGATGGCCAGAAGGAAGCTGAAAGATTTTACTACGCTGGAGCTGATGCTCAGTGCTCTGTTGCTCATTATGTTCATCGTCATGATCCCCCTGTTCGTGCTTTCTGCCAGGGAGTCTTCGGGTCAAGGAGTCAAAGGTAACAAGGGCCCCTGGTGTTCTCCCTCTACATGTGGCTCCTGCCAGAGCAAAATCCTCATCAAAGGCAGGGAAGAGGGCTTCCTGTTGCTGCTGTGAGTGTTTGTGTGAGTGAGTGAGTGTGTTGGGGAACACCGAACCAAACTGTGGCAGCTCAGTGGGGGTTCATCACAGGCCTATGTTCTGACACATTCCTTTCTCAATCAGCACCATGCAAGATTCTACAACTGATGGAATATATTTGCCCAATTTCACTGGCGAATTCTAGTTTTGTTAACAATAATAATGAACAATACCCTTCTAGGGAAAGGCAGTCAAATAGCACAGAAGCATTGAAAGTAATTTAGGCCAAAGTTTGGTTTCTTAAAAAAAAAAATAACATGCCTGGCTGGTGTGGTTCAGTGGTTGAACATCAATCCATGCACCAAGAGGTTGCTGGTTCGATTCCCAGTCAGGGCACATGCCCAGGTTGTGGGCCTGATCCCCAATGGGGGGCATGCAGGAGGCGGCCAGTCGATGTTCTCTCATCATTGTTTCTCTTTCCCTTCCTCTCTCTCTAAAATCAATAAAGAAAAAAAAAAATAGTAACAACTACCAGTGTTATTTTATTAAAAGTTTATGGTAAAATACATGACTTTCTAACCACTTTGCTTTACACCTGAAACTAATACAGAATAATATTGAATATAGACTATAATTGGAAAAAACTTTTAAAATATTTTTTAAATATCTATTTTTTAAAGATTTTTTTTGTTAATCCTTACCCAAAGATATTTTGCCATTTATTTTTAGATAGAGTGGAAGGGAGGAAGCTGGGGGCGTGGAGGGGGAGAGAGAGAGAAAGAAACACATCGATGGAGAAAGACACATCGACTTGCTGCCTCCCACATGACCCCGATGGGGGCTAGGGATTGAACCTGCAACCCAGGTACATGCCCCCAACTGGGAATCAAACCTGTGAACCTTCAGTCGGTGGGCTGACATTCTGACTACTGAACGAAACCAGCCAGGGCTAAGGATTTTTTAAATTTATTTTTAGAGAGAGAGGAAATGAGAAGGGGGGGGGGGGGAAACATCAATGTGAGAGCAAAACATGGATCAGCTGCCTCCTGCACACCCCCTACTGGGGATCGAGCCCTAAACCTGGGCATGTGCCCTGACTGGGAATCGAACCAGCAACCTTTTAGTGCATGGGACAATGCCCAGTCAACTGAGCCACACTGATGAACTGTTTTATTCTAAAACAGAGGCTAGATTGTGCTGAGTCATCCATGATTTCTTACCCTTCAGTCAGTGAAGAATCAACCTGTGGCCAGAGGAAACCTTCTTGGCCCTTTGTCTCGTTCCCAGTCCTGGCAATGTCTACTTTCATGGGAAGTTAGGTTAACTAACTCAAAGTTTGTTCATTCCTTAAAATTCAGTGATTTGGAAGCTGGAACTCAAGGCCTTATGCAGAAACTGGCACAAACACAGAGTTCTTTCAATCCAGCACTTTGAATTGGAAACGCTAATGAAAAAATGAACTAAAAGCCTCATTGTTTTAACTCAATGTCGTTATTAATTTACTTGGGTGTCTTAAAGAAATTTCACTTCCTCATATTTGAATGCATTAAATATTCCTTTTTATTTTATTTTTTTCATTGTGGTTTTATTTTTTATTTTTATCTTTATTGTTGAAAGTATTACAGATGTCCCCCCTTTCCTCCCCATTTACCCCCTCCTCTCTGCTCCCACCCCCCTCCTGCTTTCCCCCAAATTGTCTGTGTCCATTGGTTATGTATATATGCATAGAAGTTCTTTGGTTTATCTCTTCCCAAACCCCCCAACCCCCTTCCCTCTTAAATTCTACTAATTTTATTTTATTAAAAAAATTTTTTTTATTAATTTATTTTTGTTACAGATGTTTCTCCTTTTCCCCCCATTGACACCCTCCTCCTGATCCTGTCCCCCCTCCCCCATCCCATTCCCAGATTGTTGTCTATGTCTATTGGTTATGCATACATGCGTCTAAGTTCTGTGGTTTATCTCTTCCCTCCCCCCTAATCCCCTCTTCTGAGGTTTGTCAGTCTATACCCTACTTTTTCCTAATTTTAAAGTCTGAATCAAAGCCCTTGGGTTGATTCTAGCCCCCAGTTTCTAGATCTGTGGGCTCCCTTTACATTTTATGCCAAATGAGACTTGCTGTTGATGTCAGATGGCCGCCACTCAGAAGTGTGCCTGGTTCTGCGGTCTGGCACTCAGAGGGGTTGCCTGTGGACTGATCAAGCAAAACCGAGGTTGCTGTGATCAGAGGGGTGCCATTCAAGACTGCAGTGCATACTGCATGTGCTCTGTGTGCAAGCCTATGCTGATCCCGCCGCTGGGGCAGAAGGAAGGACCGGAGCAGAGTCGGCAGACTTTTCTGTGAAGGGCCAGGGGCTGAGCCCTCTCCACTCTGTGAGCCCTGTGGTCTTTGTCCTAATGACTGCCTTCTGCCATTGTGGTACAAGCGCAGAGATAGGCAATACATAAAAAACTGGCGCAGCTGAGTTCCAGTCAGCTTTATGTAATAATCAGGCTGTCCTGATTTGGCCGACAGGCCATAGTTGACCGACCCCTGGATTAGAAAAGGAAGACTTGTTCCTGCCTTGGTGAGCTTCCGACCGAACGGCGAGTCAGACTCCTTGTTCTTACAGCTCTGCCTGGTAGGGGAGGGCTCGGTGGCAGGAGGAGGTGACCGGTGCAGGTGTGCACGGTGGTCAGTGCATTTCAAGGACATCAGGGTGAAGCCCAAGCAGCAGTGGGGTTCATATACTCGGAGGCACTGGGAACTACGGGGATATCGAATGCCTGTGATATTAAGTATGCTTCATGTTGATTTTATATTTTGCTTTTGGGGTAATCCCAGGTCCTGGGACTCCGGATCCTGCTGAGTGCCCAGTGGTCAATGAATCGGAGCGGATAAACTGCATCCCGGACCAGTCGCCCACAAAGGTTTGACTTCTGGGTTCCATTTTCCTTGAGGAGTTTATGCTGTTGAAGAGTTTGTTGTTTGCTTTCGTGTTTCCTGTTTATCACTCCCAGAGGGTGGTTTGCCTGAGCTCTTGGTGGCTTTGAATGAATCCGGTATCTGTGCTTGCACGTTAGCCCAGCTCTGGGAGAGGCAAGTGCTGGCAGATGCTTTTGGGTTGACAGATTCAGCAAATAAAAATGCAGGCTGGCCCAGCTGGTGTGGCTCAGTGGTTTAGCACCAACCCATGCACCAAGAGGTTGCCGGTTCGAATCCTGGTCAGGCTACATGCCTGGGTGTGGGCTTGATCCCCAGTAGGGGGCATGCAGGAGGCAGCCAATTGGTATTCTCTCTCATCAATGTTTCTGTCTCTCTCTACCTCTCCCTTCCTCTCTTTCTAAACATCAATAAAGAAAAAAGAAAGAGTGCATGCTGCCCAGTCAAATTCAAATTTTGGAGAAACAGTAAATAATATCTTAGTGTAAGTATGCCCTACATCAGACCCGCGACTTACTGATGCCATCATTTTGGACTTTTATCCCACAAAACTCCCTGGTTACTAGTCCTCTCTGACTCTGTCACTGCCTCCGTTTCTTGTCCTCTCTCTGCCGGTCTCTCTCCTCCCACAATTCCAAAAGGTTATCTGGGATCTATAACAAGTCATACACACGCAGAAAACATTTAAAATGAGGACAACGTTTCAAGAACTGTGCTTTGAGAGAAGCAGGTAACAGCAGGTTAAGACAGTGCGGGCATCTGGGTGCTTGAGTCAGCGTTTCTCCATCAGTTCAAGTCCAGCTGAATATTATGGTTGTGAAACCATCGCACCTGCCCTATCAGCTGCCTCTCACGTAGTCGTAGAGAATGAATGAAAACAAAACACGGCCTCTGGAGTCCACTGATGTGAAACCACAGAGCCGTGCCAGACACAGGAAGGACCCTTGCCACAGGTGATGCTTGGGCACGGGGCACTCCCATACGTATCTCTGTGGCCGTCATGTTGTCAGTGGGTTGGGACAGTCTGTGCTGTGCTTGCGAGGAGATGTTTGGTTTCTCTAGAGATCCTAACACCAAAAGCCATTTTCTTATTTTCTATTTTTTTCCTCCTCCCACCCGTCTGGAGCCTAGATGTTCCAAATCAAGGTGTGGGCAGGGCTGGTTTCTTTTGAGGGCTTCGAGAAAGAATCTGTTCCGTGACTCTCCTGGCTTCTGCTGGTGGCCATCAGTTCTGGACATTCATTGGCTCATAGCCGCATCACTCCAACCTCTGTCTCCCTCTTCACACGGCTCTCTCTCTCTCACCATTCAAATTCCCAGTTATAAGTCACTGGTCCTATTGGATTAAGAGCCCACCCTACTCCAGCGTGAGCTCATATTAACTAATTACATCTGCAACAATCCTATTTCCAAATCAGGTTGCATTCAAGGTACTGAGGATTAAGACTTCAACATATCTTTCCTGGGGACACAATTCAGCCCATACCATGGACAAAGTCACAGAGGCGGGATCTGGGGAAAGTGGAAATTGTTGTAAGTTGAGCCTTCGGTATTGACTGACTTGGCGTATATGCTGAGTCATATTTGGTATTGACTGAACTGGCATATATGCTGAGTCAGAGAGAATTAAGGCAGCAAAGAGAGAACAGATGAGAGAGAAGCCATAGGGTTAGATGGGCTGGGCCTGTGGGGAAGCTGGAAATTAAGGCTGAGAAGGCAACCAGAGCCAGAGAAACAGCCAGCAGTAGAGAAAATGCCTACAAACAGCCGGCAGGAGCAGCGATGGGACAAATGGTTAGGAAGCCCGGAGGCTGTGTTGAAGGCAAGAGAGAGATCCGATCGGATTGATAGTTAATGCTCAGGAAATCCCCAGGACAGGAAGGATTCAGCAGTGCCCAGACCAGTTGTCAGGGCACAGAAAGGCAGCAGCTGGACAGCAAGCCGGCGAAGGTAGGTGTCATCCCAGTCAGACCAATGTCCCTCACCAAGACGGTTGTAGTGTTCACTCCACTTCCTTCATCTGGCATCTTACCCCGGCCTCTCGGATCAGTGTTGACACTTGCCTGCTTGGAGTAGAGAGAAACGAGGCTGAATAGCAAAGGTGGATTTAGCCCTGGCCAGTTTTGCTCAGTGGTTAGAGCGTCGGCCTGAGGTCCAGAGAGACCCGGGTTCGGTTCCCGCTACAGGCACGCACCTCAGTTGCAGTTTGTCCCCGGCCCTGGTTGGTCATGTGGGTGGCAGCCACTCAATGTGTCCCTTTCACGACGATGTTTCTCTCTCTCTTCGTCTGTCTCCCTCCCACTCTATCTGAACAAAAAATGGAAAAATGTCCTCGGGTGAGGATTAAAAAAAAAAGAAAAGGTGAATTTAGAACGTGGAAGACCTCGGGCGTCAGGTATCAGAGGCTGGTTTGTGATACATAGCAGCTCAGAGGAGCCCTTTGAGGCTGAATGGAATCCTGTAATGGAAAACAAAGCGAAAATAAAAGGCCTAGACATCAAGGAAAAAGAAGATACAAGGGAGAAAGAAAAACAAAAGCACTTCAGCACAGGGCCAAATGCCACAAAGTTGAACATTTTGAATTAATAGGTTCAGTTCCACTATATCTATCTTTCTTGACATAGGTTCTAGTAGAGGAGATAAACTGAGTAAGTGAATGACTGGACTATAAAACAAAAATTTGTAAGATCTGAAAGAAATAATGGGATCAGAATATGGAGGAGATTATTTTCAAGGAGAAGGGGAGAACCTGGAATTAAAGATAAGGAGGATTTTGACAGAGATGGGAGGGATGGGAAGTGATTTCAAGATACAAGGGATGATGTAGATGAAGAGACAGGGAATGGTCCCACATGGCCACGACCTAGGGTGGGTGCCTGAGAGAAGATGATGTTTAAGACGGTGAGGTGGATGGGAGCTTGATGATAGAGGATCTTTCGGGGGCTGCTTCATTGTCAGAATGGGAAGCTGTGGTCTGGGCTTGCTGCACCCAAAAAGGATGTTTGCACATCGGTTTGCAGCGACTTGAGCCATCCCCACTGACTTGCCACTGTCACCATGTGTTAGAAAACTGGGTGCTCAGGAGCCCATCTAGAGGACCCATGCATCCCAAGTCTACTCCCCCCACAACACCCCTCTTGTTCCCGGTAAACGTCGATACCATCTCTCCCTCAGTCATGCTGCTGCGGTGTTTTGTGATGAGAGCTGTTAGTCAAGGCTGGGAGGCCCTGAACTCAGCACCCCCTTGCCCGCTCTGCCTTCCCATCTCAACCGTGAAGTTTCGGTTAGCAGACCGATTGTACTTCAAATGTCCGGGGCAGAAGCAGCAGAACTTTCGCCTGGCTCTCTCCTTGATCCCTTTGACCAGTAGTTTGTGTATTTGAAAACATTTCCTTAACAATCTTTTCCAGAGCAAAGCCCTTCATCCCCATCCTCACGGCGATCACACGAGGCCCTCGTGACTGCTTGGATTATTCTGGAAGCCCCCCCAGCACCCCTTCTGAACCCATTTATCCCCCATTTATTCCACTGTATGCCTGATTGAAACTGCTGTCTCGAATATCCTACTTTTAGTATGTTTCTATCTAACTTGAGTACCTACGGCATCCATTACTGTATGTTAGATCAAGTTCAAACCCTTCATTGTGTTGTCTAAGAGAGGTGCCGGGAGAGTGGGCCTGAAGGAGGGACCAGCATTAGCCATCACTCCACGGAAACGTAATTTATGGACACCATAGCTTGAGGCAAGATGAATGATCCAAAAAGGGCTCAGGTGTGGGTCTCTTAAACCTGCACAGGAAAGAAATTCTCAGCTCAATTGTAGCCGCTGATAGCGCCCAAGTCTTTGCATGAGGGCCATTTCTAGGGAAACACCCTTTCTTTATAGGACACCAGCCACTTTTTCCCCTTAGTCTCCTTTTCTGATTCCTCTCCTCTCTCTCCCCTTAAAAATACTGAGGTATAATTGACATAGAACATTATATTAGGTTCAGGTGTACAAAGTAATGATTTAATATTTGTATAGATTGCAAAAATGACCACCACAATCAGTCTAGTGAACACCTGTCATGACACATAGTCACAACATTTGATTTTTTCCGTGATGAGTACTTCTAAGATCTACTTTCAAATATGCCATGCATGCGTGTTAACTGTAGTCACCATGCTGTCTATTTCATTCCTATGACTCGTTTATTTTATAACTGGAAATTTGTACCCTCATGATTCCTCCTCTTCTATATGACCCTAAATGTTGCAAAATCTCTACTCTACCTACACTCAATCCTTTGAGGATTTTACCCAGTATTATGTCTATAGATGGTAATACCCCATGTGCCTACGAATCAGAGGTAACGCCTTCAGGCTAAATCGTGCCCCTGGATTGCACATGTATCTATGCAACTGCTAATTCATCATCTCCACTTGGATGTCTAATTGCTACCGCAAATCCAGCACGTCAAGATTGAACTTTCAATCTCCTACACTTAGGCGCAAACCGAAACCTGCTCTTCCTGTAGCCCCACCCACCTTGGCAATGGCAACTGTTAACCTTTTTACCCCTTGCTGTCAATAAAAATTACAACTTTAAGAAAAAAATCAAGGATCTAATATAATAGCAATGAACTGATTGTCTACTATTTCTGGAACTTTTCTTGGATGTCTACCTAGGTATGATGTCTGAAAATAATGATGATTTGGTTTCATCTTTTCAGATTTACACATTTCCTTTCTTTTCTTGGCCTAGTGTATTCTTAAGACTCCAGTATCGTTTTAATTACAGGAAGTCATAAACATGAGTCACCCATGTTTCCTTTCTGATTTTAAAGGGAGTGTTTCTGACATTTCACCATTTGGTAGATACCCATTATCCAACGAAGGAAGTTGGTGGTTTATTCCTAGTTTGCTAAGAATTTTATCATGAACAGCTCATGCATTTAAATGATTCTGTGGCGTACTTCCTTTAATAAGTTACTGTGAGGAATCACACATGTGGATTTTTTAATAATAAAGGATCCTTGTCTCTCTGGGAAGAATACTACTCAATCACTATTGAGTGCGTTGCTGATTTCTGAAAAAGCTGCCTGTCCTTTGTATTTAGGCTTTTGCATTTTTGTTCATGGGCAAGCCTGGGCTCTAGTGTCCCTTCTCCTTTCGTGTCTGATTTTGGGATAACATACTTGCTTGTGTATCCTGTTCTCGTTGAAATGTTAAGTAGCACTGGGGTTGGAGGAGGACAGGATTTGGCGGGAGCAGAGCTCGGTTGGGTCTTAAACAATGTCTTCAGCACCTGGCTTCAGCTCTGAGTGCAATTCAGTTCCTCTCTGTGTGTCGAGGCAGAAACCTATCTGTCCATGTGTCAAAAGTAAAATAGCTTGATGTTTTGTCTACTGTATCACTTGCTAAGAGAGCTCTTTAAAAGCATTTCATGTATGCCATCTCTTTCCATTTTACCTTGTCATTCTTTAAAAAATTTTCTGTAAATATTTGAACCTTTTTTGAAATATATGCTTTTATTGATTTTTGAGAGGAAGGCAGAGGGAGAGACAGAAACATCAATGAGAGAGAAACATCGATTGGCTGCCTCCACACGCCCCCTACTGGGGATGGAGCTTGCAAACTGAGCATGTGCCCTGACTGGGAACTGAACCAGTGCGACCTCTTGGTACATAGGACAATGCTCAATCCACTGAGCCACACCAGCTGGGCGCTATTTTGAGTATTATCAGTTGCATATCAAGTTTCCCGGTGAGCTGAAACTTTCATCATCATGTAATAACTCAATGTCTCCTTAATAATGCATTTTTACTTCAAGTCTATGTGTCTGATGTTACTCTAATTACACCAGCCTTTGGTTACATTCTTCTCCCATGTCTTACCTGCTTTTTACTCTCCATGCTCTGGTGAGCTCAAATTTTGGGTGTGCCTCCTCTCAGCGACTTCAGCTGAATTTATTTCTCTAAAAGCAATCAGTCTATCTTTCTCTTTTAAGTTACGTATTTCAAACATGGTCACTGACATGACAAATTTTTTTCCTGAGGTCTCAAGTTGTGTTTCCCACGTTTTCCTGTTGTTTTTTTTTAATCTACTGCTCTCTACGCCCCGCCCCACTTCCATCTACACGTTTTCTTGCCTTACATTTCAAATTTTCTCTTCAATTTTAATCCTCATGTCCAACTCACTGGGGCATTTTGTGCCTTGGGCCACCTTCCTGTGTGCCTCCAGTCCCCTGGGGGTCATATTTTAGAGCTGCTCCTTCCAGCACTGCCCTGGGTTTCACGTCGGGTTGACTCCCTGCTGTACGTGTGCTGCGCTCTGCCTCCATGCCGCTTCTCACAGCTGCTCAGCTCCGCTATGAACTGTGTCTTCAAGCTGGCCACTCTGTGACCTCTGCCCTTTCCAGTTCAATGAAGAAATTGCAAGCTCTGGGGAGCATGCAGAAACCACTGGGTCTAACACCCTTTTCAGCACCTTCTCTTTGCCCATTATACTGAAGTTCATCTGCCTGGGTGTTTAATGGAAAAGGCAAACACTGCTGGTTGAAGTTGAGTTCACCATGACCTGGCCCCACAGCAATGTAAACCACAGGGGGGACGTAGTTTTCCCATCTTTAATACTGGCCATTGGCATTGAAAATTAGCATTTGAGTAAGCCTAATTTTTCATATATCTCAGCCAAGTCCTCCTGAAAATGTGTTCAGCAGACACTCACTCCACACTATAGGAAAAAGTAACTGGACAGAAGAGAACGAAGGTCCGTTCTAGCCTTTTCAACGGCTAATGGAGTAACTTCTAGCAGGCGACATCACCTCTGGGAACCTTTACCTTGGTGGTCTCAGGTTCTTCATCTGTACAACGAAGTAGCAGGATTATCTAGAGATGTGAGACAGATTATCCCAAAACAATGGCTTACCACAACTAACGTTATTTCTTCACAGTGTCTGTGGTCAGTCATGTGGCCTTTGTCTAGCAGGGTGCTTTTGAGGGGAGGTCTTTCAAGAGATTGCCATTGTGGTGTCTGCTGCGACTGTGGGGTTCTCCCTTTCCAGCTCCTTCGTGTGACTGTGGGATTCAGCTTGTCTTGGATTGCTGGTTGGGGACCTCAGTTCCTTGCTTACTATTGGCCAGAGACCTCCCTCAGTTCCTTCCAATGGGGGTCTGTCCACAACACATCACACTCCTCCCAGAGTGAGACCCCAACCGAGCAAGGGAAAAGAGCCAGCCAGGCAGGAGACACTGTCTTTCTCTGCTCAGATCTCATCCATTATTTTTGCCACATTCTATTTACAAGTCACTCTGTCTAGCCACATGCAAGAGGAGAGGTTTCTTTGTACTGGTTTGCATATAACCTGGTTGCTTCTTGCAAATTAGTGGAGGTGAGACAGCGATGGTGTTCGTCATGGTCATTAACTGCGGTTTAAGGCAGGAACCTTTCTTAAATAAGAATTGGCATCTATTTGGGTTTCAAGGAACAAGTACGTTCTGCCTTGGGAGGAGTTGAGGGAGTAAATATATAAATGTTATAGATAACACATATGTAATATACACGTTTAAAAGTCAAAGCAAAATTGACCTTAAAGCTTCTGAGTAAAGTTGATTGGAGGACCTCTCCCCGCACCTTTTCTTAAGCCAAAGCTATGTATATGAAGGTCCGATTGCAATTTTGGGTTAGTGGGCTATACCTACATTATAGTTTAGAATATTTAAATAAATTTATCAGTTTTATTGTGATGACAGATATGGGCTGCACTGTGGTTCCTATATTGATATATAATAACAATAACTCGGAAGGACATTTGCAGAAAGATTGTTCTTTTTATTTATTATTATTTAAAAAACATATTTTTATCCATTTTTAGAGAGAGAGGTAGGGAGAGGGGGAGGGAGATAGAAACATCGATGAGCGAGATCATCAATTGACCGCCTCCTACATGCCCCCCACTGGGGATTGAGCCTGCAACCCGGGCATGTGTCCTGACCGGGAATCGAACCAGGACCACTTGGTCCATGGGTCAATGCTCAACCACTGAGCCACATTGGCTAGGCGAAAGATTGGTTTTGAGTACAAGCTCTGCATTGACTGGGACAGAGCACGATTTCTCTGAATATCAGTTCCCTTACTTGTACAATGAAGTTAATGGTATCACAAGCTCACATTATATTTGTAAAGAACAGAGTTCTAGTGACAAAGGAGTTACTTCAACTAAATCTCCTATTGCAGGCCACATGTGAGCAGCGCGGCTGCTGCTGGAAACCCCAGGGACCCATCAGCGTGCCCTGGTGCTACTATTCGAAGAGCCATGGCTACCAACAGGAGGGCGACCGTAGAAACACAAACGCAGGTAAGCCAGACCAGGCAGGAGCTCAGGACCCTGTGGGGAGCGGCTCTGTCTGCTCCAGAGTTTGCCCTGTACGCCACACCAATGCATGTGGCCACAGGTGGCCCGGAATGCATCCTGGCAATAGGAAAAGCCACTCTGTCTTGGGACTTGAGAGACTTACTCTGTTCCTGCTCTCCTTTCATGTACCTTTGTAACCGTGTGCAGACATCATCACTTCTTTGGTCCCCAGGTTTCTAACTTTTAAAGAGAGGGATTTGAACCCAGTAATCTGAGACTACTTACAGCTCTAATATAATATGATGTTAATGATGTGAAAAGAATTCCAGTTTTTTCAACGTTTTAGGAAAGTTAGCCGATGTCAGTGTGCATGGATTAAACAGCCCCTCTTTCCCCTCCCACCCCAAGATGCAGTGCACACTGATGACTATCCAGGACATAGCAGAAGGTGACTGCTTTGGTGGTGGTGGTGGGGGGGCGGGCTCTTTGCATAAAGGGACACACACGCGCCTCATCTGGAGGCCCTTGGCCTGTCGAGCTTTTCTAAGGTCTCCGCTCTCACCTGATTTACGTAACTAGGGAGATGGCATTGATGTAACATGAAAATAACCGAGAAGGAATATTGTATATATGCAAATTGAGGGCTCAGCATGTAAAGGGTATGCGATTAACACAGAGTGACTGATGGGCTGGTGGAATGAGAGTTAGGCCTTTGGAGGTTCCTGATCACATGATGTAGAAGAGAGACATGGTTTTTGGATAAGGCAACAACAGTACCTAGCTTCACATTCTGGCCCCAGGTTGCATGAGCACATGATGGGGTTTATGTCTGTAACTTCTATTCTTTGGGGAGTTAAAGGCTTTTACCAGCCCCTTTGATGTAAAGGTTAATTTTTATGTGTCTGTGTTTTGTGGAAGCACACAGCTGTTTAAACCGCTTTTCCTCTCTGTCTTAGGGTTCACAGCCCAGCTGAAAAGGCTGCCTTCTCCATCCCCGTTTGGAAATGATGTCAACCATGTCCTTCTCACAGCGGAATATCAGACACCTAATCGTTTCCACTTTAAGGTTGCAGTTTGTCGATTTAAAAAAATATCTGTTTTGAGAAGTTCTTATTTCCCAGCTGATGACTGAAGTTACCACAAAATAGAGAATTTCGTTAAGGGAGGTGGTTTTCTCTACCGTCATTATTCTTACTTAGCACCTGTATGTCAGAGGCATCAATAGCCTTTCTTCCTAAATATACATGACAGAGGTCACTGGTGAGCTTTGGTTCTCATTGATTTGCCCTTAATACCATGTGAAATGTAGCACAGAGGGAAGCATTCTATCACTTCTTTGAAAATTCTAAAGATAGTCCATCTCTGCAAACTTGAAGTGTGTGTGTGTATTTAATTTATTTTTATTGTTGAAAGTATTACAGATGTCTCTCCTTTTTCCCCTCATTGGCCCCCTCCTCCCTCCTCCCTCCCCCCTCCTGCCTTCACTGCACTGTTGTCTGTGTCCATTGGTTATGCATACATGCATATAATTTCTTTGGTTTATCTCTTCCCTCTCCCCAACCCCTCTTCCCTCCCCCCATCCCTCTTCCCTCTGAGGTATATTTCTACCTAAGGACTAACCTATGCCCAAGTGTTCAACATCAGAATTTGATATATAATGTAGACATAATGCCTTTTGGATCAGTGCCCGAGCTCCAATACCCTGAGTGTAGATATTGGGAAGTACTGTTGGTGAGGATGCTTCTATTTGAGGAATACAGAGAAATTTTCATTCTGGCTTTCTTTTCCTTCATCTCTCTGGACAGCTAACTGACCCAAACAATGACAGGTACCAAGTGCCCCATGAACACATCCAAGCCTTCAAAGGAGATGCTGCTTCTTCCCGGACCTATGACGTTGAGGTCTCCAAACAGCCATTTAGCATCAAAGTGATCAGAAGAAGCAACAACCGTGTCCTGTAAGTTTGGAAAACCTATCTGGGGAACAGAGTAGGAGGGGACGGGAGCTTTGCAAGCCCGAGAAAGGGTGCATTTCAACAATATTTTTGGAGGCTGTGAGTACCCCGTGGAGATCAGACTCTCCACTTCCAAATGAATACACTTTTTCTCTGCCTGCCTTCCTCTTCCCCTGACCTCTTTTTTGTTATGACAAAGCATTTTTTATAGATCAGTCACTGTGCTATGTCCTTTTCCCCTCCCCCATCCTATTTTTTCTTCCATTTATCCAATCACATTCATTCACCAGTAACTGTTTATGGAACATCTACTACAATGTAAGACTAGCATTCAGGTCATGTGACAGGGTGTCTATGAGAGAAATCTAAGAAATGTGCCACACGGTGCCTGCCCCCAAGAAGTCCTGATCTCTTGGCATCCATGGAAAAATGTCACAGCAGGACAAATGGGGCCAATTAAGTCGGGGGTACTGAATCATTGGCATAGGCCGCTTTTCTATGAAGCTGTGTTCTCTCCACCCATCCTTGTGTTTTCTCTCTATGTCTAGGTTTGACTCAAGCATCGGGCCCCTCCTGTTTGCTGACCAGTTCCTGCAGTTCTCCATCCGCCTGCCCAGTGCTAACGTGTACGGCCTGGGAGAGCAGGTGCATCGGCAGTACCGCCATGATATGAATTGGAAGACCTGGCCCATCTTCACCAGGGATACAACACCCAATGGGGTAAGCTTACAGGATGGCCCCTCTTCACTGAGTATGGCAGCCTCATTCTTGAAGGTCACTCCCAGCAGCACAGTGTGATGGTGAAGAATACGATGTTAGAGTGAGGCTGTCTGGGTCTAGTTCTGGCACTGCCAGTCACCACCCGGTTCTGGGCAAGTTGCCTCTTTGTGTCTTCAGTTTTTCATCTATAAAATGGGGGCAATATACTTACCTCATAGGATTGTGATGCAAATTAAATCCATTGCTACATAGGGTCTCTAGAAGAGTGTCTGCCACACAGAAAGTCCTCAGTGAATGTCAACTGCTTTTCATTCTATCTTCCTTTTGAACTAACTAGTTCTGGAAGAAAACGTTACTAAGTTTGACTCTGCACAATCTGTTTGTTATGCTCGCCATGTTTTACGTTGACCTTTATAAATCACCAACGTACCGTGTTTGTCAGCAAAACAGGATTAAATGTCAACTAAAATGCTGTGTTAATCATTCTTTGTGTGAAGAATGCTTTGCCAATGAAAGAATAGAGTTTTACTTATTTACTTATTTTTTAAAATATTTTTCTTTACTGATTTGAGAGAGAGAGAAAGAGGGAGAGAGAGATAGAAACACTGATGAGAGAGAACATAGGTTGGCTGCCTCCTGCATGCCCCCCACTGGGGATCAGACCCACAACCTGGGCATGTGCCCTGACCAGGAATTGAAACCGGCGACCTCTTGGCGCATGGGTGGATGCTCAACCACTGAGCCACGCCAGCCGGGCAGGAGTAGAATTTTGTTGTTATAGTTGTTGATTTCTTTTTCCTTTTGCTCTTTTGTTTCGACAAAACAGAGGTATTTTCTAGGCTCAGCAATACAGGTCTTGTTCAGCAACTTTCCTGACTAAGTGGAACTACTGGCTGGATGAGAAGAGACAGTCAAATAATTTATTGACTATTTTATCCATTATTACTTTTTACCAAAAGAACTTTAAAAAAACAAGTGTAATTGCCCAGCCGGTATGGCTCAGTGTTTGAGCATCCACCCATGCACCAAGAGGTCATCGGTTCGATTTCTGGTCAGGGCACAGGCCCAGGTTGTAGGCCAGATCCCCAGTGTGGGGCATGCGGGAGGTGGCCAATCAATATTCTCTCTCATCGATGTTTCTATCTCTTTCTGTCTCTCTTCTTCTCTCTCAAAAATCAATAAAGAAAAAACAAATAAAAATGAAATATAATTTACTCCATTTAACAGATGAGAAAACGGAGGCTCAGAAAAGCCAAATAAACCCCTAGTGTAAAAATAAAAGGTTTGTAAGTAAAAGAGATAAGATCTAATCCCTGGCCGTTGGACCGTGAAGCCATACTCCTTACTATACATATGCCTATCAGAAAAACGGAAAAGACACTGAGTCAGAGAAGCTTACCTAGGAATAGCTGGTGATGGTTGTGTAATAAGGAACCCCAGATACCTGCTACTTGAAGTGTCCAGCATGGGCGCCATTGTGTGACACATGTGGGTGCTCAGCTCCCTCTGCCATCCATTGAATTAGAATCCACATTTAACTAAGATCCTTGTATGATTTCTATGCACACCAAATTTTGGAGAATGCTGTTCTAGAGCAGTGATTTTCAAACATGACTACACGTTGGAATCACCTGGGGAAATTGAACAAACCATCAACGCTTGCTTCCATCCTCAGGGATTCTGTGTTACTTGGGCTGGGATGCATCCCAGGTGGAAAACTACTGTACTATTCTGAAGTCTAGAAGACCAGCTCGGTTTCTAAACTCTACTGTTGTAAAGTCTAGAAGAGCAGATATCCCAAGGAGAGCTCCATCTAGTTGCACATTAGAAAGGTGCCTAATTCATGTTAAAGCTTTGTGGAGCTTCTGTAGATGGGGTGAAGTCAGGAAAGACAAGCCTCCTTGAGAGGAGAGCTCTTTAGAACTTTGGTTTTGAAATGCTTGTTCTCCCACATCCTAACAGATATCACAGGCTCTCACGGTCTTTCTAGAGAAATAGTCACAGCTAGCTCATTCATAAGGGAACACCTTTTCACTTGGTTAACATTAACCAAATATCAACCTTATATTTGCAAAGTTTAGTTGTGTCTTCTTTGACCACGAGTTCCCTGTTAATTACTGACATGGTTAGCACTGGTTTTCTAAGCCATTTCTGGCCAAGTGGAGTTTAGACTACTGGATTGTAAATGTGTGGTTTCTAATTATCTTTTTGCAGGAGGGAAATAACTTGTATGGTGCACAGACATTCTTCCTGTGCCTTGAAGATGCTAGTGGATTGTCCTTTGGAGTGTTTCTGATGAACAGCAATGCCATGGGTAAAGGACTAACGGCATATTCATTTTTAAAAAATGCATAAGAGTGATCTTCAGTCCCTTTCTTACAGCACAATGATCCTTTAGGGATGGCGAAGCCATAGCTTAAGGCCTTGTGTGTTGACCTATGGTAGCCATGAATAAGGGTTTTTTCTCCTGGCTTATGATTTTCCTGAATGTGTTTGCCTCTGCTGGAATATTTTCTGCCATAGTTAAGACAGCAGACCCTTTCCATAACCTACTTAGAGGCAGTTTCTACCAATCTGCCCTTCTCCTTCCTTAGACTTCCATCCAGAATAGTGGTTGCTATAAGCTCTGGTAGGAAACATCCAGTTGCTCTGAGTCTGATGATGACAGTAGCTGGTTTGAACCAGGGAACTACACTGAGCAATGAATGCCACATTGAGATACACCAAGGGTAGCAAGGTAAAGGAGTGTCAAGGGTCATGCAAAGCAAGATCAGATTGTTTAAGACCAGACAGTGTAGCCTCATAGAAGTCTAGGAAGTAGCTAGCTGCCCCATCTTTGAAGGTTTTAGACTAGATCAATGATTCTCAACTCCTTTTCTGCTTGCACCAGTAACAGTGGATTTTAGTATCAATGAATCAATCACCACAGGGGTACAAGAGATGTATCAGAATCTCCCAGGGTTAATGTGGGCATAGGACATAGATCCCCATCCTCTTCTCAACTGAGAATCAATGGACTAGATCTGTGATACTCAGAGCGTGGCCCACCGATGGTTCACATACTGTTCCAGGTCTACAGGAAGATGAGGATAGAAATAGAGAGTAAAGATTTTTATAGCATCCAAGTGCATGCATAAACCCTTTCCTAGTAATTCATTTTCATGTTATTTTACAAAAGTATCAGCTTGCAAAGAATTGGAAATTTAAAAACTAAGATATGACCCTTCACTACAGATTGTTTGAGAATCACTCTATGTAATCTAAGATACCTAATAGAATTTTAGGTGATTCCAAGATACCTAGTAGTCTAAGAACAGATTGAGATAATACAAAGATTATACAGAAAGGAACTGGAAAACAAGGGAAAGACCACAGGATCCTAGATTCTCTGTGTAAATTGTTCCCATGGCCGCAGAATACATTTCCGTAGATTTTGAGGCCTTTTATCCCAATATGCAAACTAAGGGTATGAGGAGACCTCACTTTGGGGGGAAGTGATTGGGGCTTAGAGGGATTGTGAATTTATAGTATCATCTCTGACTTTATTTCTTGGTTGTCTCTTGCTTGATGTGAGATTCATTGAGGCTACTACCTCAGTGTGTCTAGTTGGGTTATATTCCTGCAGTAACAGTGGGTTGCAGGGTAGGAACAGCAGGTTATATAGTTGTGAATGTCAAAGAAAAAACTTTCTCCACCCCCTTATGTTCAGTACTTGGGTTCCTGTGAATGAAACTGACAAAGGGCAGGTTATCAAGAGGAAGAACAGAGTTTATTTACACATGTCACCTACCTACACGCAAGTGCTCAGTGAAGAGCAGCGCAAAGGGGAGGTTAGAGTTAGGAGCTAGCATGTCATCCTAACAGGTCAATGGGAAGGGGAGAAAGGCACTTAGAATAAAACAAAGGACTTCTTAGAGGAAGTGGGATGGATCAAAGGCACGATGGGAGAGCAAATGACTTTTTGGAAAGAGAAATGAGCCTAAGGAGGGGGATTTATGACAGCTGAGTACTTTTGGAGGCTGTTTTTAGGTTGATAAAGGGTTTCAAAAACTTGAATGTCTTTAGCCTAAAACAATTTTTATGCTTTTTCATGAGCACCGAGGTCCTGACACGGGTGTTAAGACACTCCAGTCACCAATGATCAAAACCTGTCACAGAAGCAGTGCTTGGACCCCCGTGTGCTGCGAGGGTGGACTTTGATTATCAGAGTTCATCCCTTTGTATACAAAATCTTAGGACCAAGTTATCAGTGTTCAGATGACTGTGATCCTCTGGTCTAAAGCTTTGTAATGCTTACTCTAGAATACATTCTAACACTTATTTTCTTTATTTTTAATCTACCAAGAGGTTGTCCTCCAGCCCACACCAGCCATCACTTACCGCACCATCGGGGGCATTCTGGACTTCTATGTGTTCTTGGGAAACACTCCGGAACAAGTGGTCCAAGAGTATCTGGAGGTAAATCTGAAATAGCACAAAGAAAAGCAAATTTAATATGCAAGCGTGACTCATGAAAGTCTGCTGTTATAAATAACTGTCGTAAATCTGCCGTTACAATGATTTATAAAGGGGCCGGGAAAGTAGATCAACAGTCTAACATTAATGAGAAAGTGTGTTTGAAAGCGGAGTACAATCTGTGCCCCTAAGCCGATGCTTAGTAATGGTTTTGTTAAAAATAGGGCCCTGGCTAATTTTTATTTCAAATATTTCTTTCAGCTCATTGGAAGGCCAGTCCTACCCGCATACTGGGCACTTGGATTTCATCTCAGTCGCTATGATTATGGATCCCTGGACAACATGAAAGAAGTCGTGGAGAGAAACCGGGCAGCACAGCTTCCTTACGTAAGTCAAGTTTTTAAAAAATCCTCTAAAAATAAGAGAGTTCCTTTGGGGAATAAGAATAATTGTTTATCCCTGGCCACTTTGGCTCAGCAGTTAGAGTGTCAGCCTGTGGACCCAAGAGTCTCAGGTTCAATTCTGGTCAAGGGCATGTACCTCAGTTGCGGTTTGGTCCCAGCCCTGGTCGAGGTCATGAGGGAGGCAACCAATCAATGTGTTTCAAACATTGATGTTTCTCTCTCTCGTTCCCTCCCTGCCACTCTATCTGAAGATAAATGAAAAAATATCTTCAAATGAGGATTTAAAAAAAGAATAGTTGTTTATAATTTCTCCCCTTAAGTTTAATATATATATGTATATTTATATATATTTATTTATATGAGAAATATTTTTATATATTTAGAGTGGTAGACCTTTTTTTTTATTGTTGGACCAGCCATTTCTTCGAGGAACTGGTTCTTTAGAGTTGGAAATATTACTCAGAGACCACAGTTATGGGGTTAGGAGGCAATCCGTTGTCTCTATTTCTTCTTATGTTTTACTACTAACATTTTCTTATGCTGACTGTATTAACTACATTTCATACAATGCATCTTGTTTACATAATGTATTTAGTTCTCAAGGCTTTTCTTTTTCTGGTTTAAGTGAGCAAAAGGATTCAGGGCATACATGTAATGAAATGTTTTTCTGTTTTGAACACTTAAATTTCAATGTGTCTATTGTATAACGTGGAGTGAGTTTTTACAAGCCATACAAAGGAAAAACCCAATAGTCTCCGGAATAATCCTTTTTCTTTCCCTTCCCAGCCCCTTGGAGGCAGACACGCAGGTCCCAGAGAGTCCATTTCATTCTGGGCCCCACCATTTTCACACAGGTTAAACTGGCAAAGGATAATGGCCAAAGAGGACTTGAAGTAGAGACACAATAAAATGTGGGGAGGTAAAGTGAAGGGGAAGGCAGCCCCTTCCCCCACTATCTTGTGGATGGGGCAGAATTTAGGGCGTGGCTGCATTTATGATAGCCTCAGTGGTTTGTTCTCATTGTTGTGGTTTGTTTGTTTGATCTGTGCTTTTAAAGGAGCCACCATTAATGATGGATGGCCAATTTCCTAGGATGGTTTCTTATGGAAAGAAATGCAGTCCATAAGCTGTTGAAGCAGTGAGCTTCTGAGTAGGGTTGCTCAACCTTGACACCGTTGTTTTGAACTCTCCTGTATACTGAAGGATGTTTAGCAGCATCCTGGCCTCTACCCCCTGGGTGCCAGTCACAGCCTTTCCCTGCCCACCTCCTGGTCCTGACAATCAAAAATGTTTCCAGACATTGTCCCAGGTACCCTGGGGAACAGAACTGCCCCAGTTGAGAACCATTAGACTGGTTTTGAATGTTAATGGCCAGGCCACAAGGTGGGGTGATTCAGTCAACCTGATTCAGGGGTGCGGTCAGGCCTCAGGGAAACAATGGGTCATTGGTTTTGAAATTACCATTGGGAAAAGAAGTACTTGTATGCCAGGGACTGATGAAGAACCCTGGGGAGAGCCCAGCACAGAGTCAGTGCATCCTGAATGATAGCAGTGACAATTGGACTGGCCCATTTAACAGGGAAATTCCTAGGCACTGAAATGTGAACCTCGTGTGTTCTTTCAGGATGTTCAGCATGCTGATATTGACTATATGGATGAGAGGAAGGACTTCACTTATAATCCAGTAGCTTTTAAAGGCTTTCCTGAGTTTGCTAAGGAGTTGCACAATAATGGACAGAAACTGATCATCATTGTGGTATGTGCCACCCTCATGTACCCCCAAACCAGATGTTGTTCTTTCTTGTCATTATTCCTGGCTCCCTTTCCTTCACCCCCCATTCCCAACCCCCTTTTGGTGCCTCTAGTGTAATGCTTGGTCCTTCAGTGTATCCCCCCCCCCCTTTAGGATCCAGCTATCTCCATCAACTCTTCCTCAAGTCATCCCTACGGCCCATATGACAGAGGTTCAGACATGAAGATATGGGTCAATGCTTCCGATGGAGTGACTCCACTCATTGGGGAGGTACTTTAAAGGGGAAGCTGGTGGAGGGGCTGTGTGTGTGTGTGTGTATGTGAATGTGTGTGTAATTGTCTTGTTTTACATTTTCTGATGCCTTATGTATGCTGGGGCTAAACTTTTTCTGTTCTTTTGTCCCCAAATGCCAGCCATCCTAGCTCTTACATTCGCTTCACAGTCAAGTCCCTTCACACAGGAGCCCCCCTGCTGAGTATGCTCTTCCTCATCCTGGCCACTCATCAGCTGACTGCTGTCTACCTCCTTCCCTGTCACTTTCCTGCTACCACTTTAGCAAAGGGCACAAGTTACCCCTGGTCAGCAAATCCAATGCAATGGTTGCGTCCCTTTCCTTACACAATTGCTCTGTAGTATTTGACAAGTTCGACTCCTTTTTATTTGTCTTTGTTTTCCATGAAGGTGTTACCTGCTGGTTCACTTCTAATACCTTGGACAGACCCGAGTACTTAGCATCTGGGGGGAAGCAGATGGGAAAGGAATAAAGAAGAAGAGTTGATGATTAGAACCCACAATTTGTAATGGACCTGTTGAAATGTACACTGGACTGTCCCTCATTTATTATTCCTAGAAGTGGGAGAATGTGAGAGGGAAGGGTGAACCAGAGTTGAAGATTAACAAGGACTTAACCAATTTATTTTAAATGAGTTTTTTCCCCAGTGACAGTTTGAGTCCCTCCTGGTGCTTACCCTAGATATTCTAAGTGCCACACATTCCTGAGAAGAAGCTGTGCCCGGGCACCTTCATTACCTTGATCATATTAGAATTTGTTTTCAAAGTACTCTCTTTTACTCTATATTCATTTGATTTACTTTAATCAATGTTTTTTCTTTTTTCTTTTCCCCCCCTCCTCCTTCAGGTCTGGCCTGGAAAAACTGTGTTTCCTGATTATACCAACCCCCAGTGTGCTGTTTGGTGGGCAAATGAATTTAAGCTTTTCCACAATCAAGTGGAGTTTGATGGGATTTGGATTGTGAGTTCTTAATGTTTTGATTATTAGGCAACTAATGTTCAGACTGTGTATAGCTACATCATTGAGTCATGGAGCATAGGGGGAGAGAAGGAAAGGAAACCAATACTGCAATAATCCTAAATGTTTCCTAATTTGTGTGTGTTAAATGCTATTGAGTTGGCTCTGACTCCTGGTGACCTCGTGAATGAGTGATGTCCACAGTGTCCCGTCCTCAACAGCTTCTGCAGAACCATGCCTATGGCTTCTTTTATGGAGTCAATCCATCTCATGTTCGGTCTTCCTCTTTTCCTGTTGCCTTCTGTTTTTCCCAGCATTGATGTCTTTTCCAAAGAGCCCTGCCTTCTTGAGATGTGTCAGAAACAGGAGAGCCTCAGTTTGATCATTTCTGCCTCCAGAGATGTTTCAGGCTTCATTTGCTCTAGGACCCACTTGTTCATGTTTCTGGTGGTCCACGGTATCCACGGAGCTCTCCCCCAGCATCCTATGTCAAATGAATTTGTTTTTTTCTCATCAGCCTTCTGTACTCTCTGACTTTGTCATCCACACCTAGTGATGGAGAACACAGGGGTGTGGATGATCTCAGCTTTGGTCTCTAATGACACCATCCTTACTTGTGATGATCTTTCCTAATTCTTACACTGCTGCCCTTTGAGTCTCAGCTTCCTTGGCTGCAACCTCCATTGGAATTGATGGCCGAGCCAAAGTAGGCCAAACCTTCAACAATTTCAATGCTTCGTCGTCTAGGTTAAAGTTGTGTATTTCTTCTGTGGTCATGATGTTTAACTTCTTGATGTCCACATTCCCTGTCTTTCTATTCAGATAATCTTATCAAAACGGGTAGCTTCAAATCAAAAGCAGATGGTCAGAATTAGGAGTAATCTGTCTTTTCCCAGGACTCTTTTTACAAATGAATGTGCTGAACTAAAAATAGTATATACGCCTTACATTGTCCCAGGGACATCAGTTGTTGAGTTGCCAGTTCAGGGCCCTTTCTTTTGGAGATATTGGACAAATCAATCAGAGTCAGAGTGCCCAGGGGTGTGACAAAACTGTGCAAACACAAAGCAACAGGCGTTTGGCAAAATGTAGGCAGCGCTAGAGTTGAACTTTTTTTCTTGTTTGTAAGAGAAATGTAGAGAATTCAAACAATGCAGAGAACTAAAAGATAAAGGCAAAATCCTCAAAAATGATATGCACCAAAGACATGTTTTGGTATGTATCTTCTGAACCCCTCACTTAGACAACCGTTGGCTCATGCTTGCTTGCTCATTCACTCTGTTTATGCAGAATATGTACAAGAAAATGTACGTTGGATATACAGAACATGTATACGTTGATAGATATGGAATCATATACATTGAAACCTTTTTTCACCTAGTGTGTCTGGAAATGTTTTATTTTTCGTGATTATAGACATCTATACTTTTGAAGGTATTTTTAAGAACTGTCTCCATGAAACCTTCAGTATATGGAGAAGATAAGAATATTTTTCTCCATGGACATAAGAACCTTTTAAAAAAGAAATATCTGGGATCATTTTTATAATTTTGCAAAAAATAAAAATAAAAAAGAAAGACTACCCTTAGTGCAACATAAGTTGACATGTTATTTTTTTATTAATAAATTTTGCTCTTTGTCTTGTAGGATATGAATGAGGTCTCCAACTTTGTGGATGGTTCAGTTTCAGGATGTTCAACAAGCCATCTAAATTATCCCCCGTTTATTCCCAGTACGTCTTGGTGGTTAGTCTGGTGAAAGTGGCAATGCGTATTTGGGATTTTAATTTCATAAGGATAGATATGAAAAATTCTGTAAGGATGTTTATATATAAGAGTGCATATAGAAAGGAAAATGTGAGTAATATAGAAAGAAAACTAAGAAAGAAAATCAAAACATTCCAGGCTTTCCTAAGACATCGATTCAAAGGGTGCAATCTATTCCTTCTACCTACAGGGGAAGATCTAGAGAAGATGTGGTACAGAAGCCAGAGGCTAGTGGTCAGCCTGTGTTGCTCTTGAATACTCCCTCACAGATCAGGACTTACCAGAGAGAGACCAGCTTATGAGGCTTGGTCTTCAGATGAAGATCAAGTCTTGTGATATCAAGAGTGTGAAGAACAGGCCAGAACCCCTGGCTTGGGAGGTCAAAGTCAAAGTCAATGAATATGATATGATGCCTATGAGCTCTGATTGAACTTTGAACAGCACTCTCTCTCAGGGTGTGGTCTTGAAATCCTCACGTTTATTGTAGAGGCTCCCAGACATATTGTGTCTTGATTAAGAAAGAAAGGAGTTGCTAGAATTATAGCATCTTACGAAGACTCCAGTCTGGTGGGGAAATAGGAAACTGGAGCAGATGGGCCAGAATCAAATGTTGAAGGAAGCGCATGGGAGGCTTAACAGGTCACACATCCTTCTTTTTGCGAGAGAATCTATTTATGTTTTAATAAAAAGGAAATATACTAGTCAAATGGTTTTGGAAGTATCCATCTGGCATTAATATGCAATATGGGTTAGAAAATCAGATCAGAAGTCAATAAGCTATTAAAGAACTTTTGCAGTAGTTAAGATCCAAAGACTATTTGGATCTGAACCAGAGTGGTGCACTCGGAATGGAAAAGAATAGATGAATGAAAGAGAGGTTGGGCAATCATCTTTTATAATATGTGGTCAATGGAGAGAGGGGTTGAGAAGTTAATATATGCTTTCATCCAGTATTTGTATTTCTGAACCATTTAGCTTAGCTGAGTTTGAGGAATTCAGACTAACTCTCAAGTCTAACTGGATCCTCTTGCTTCCAAGTGCCTGCCTCTAGTCACATGGGCACCCAGGTGGGAGGATGTGTATGGGTCAGCACAGTTTCTTCACACAGCAGAGTAACTGCCCCAAGTGTATAGCCCTCTGATAGTAAGGAGGCTGTGTGATCACTGTCAGGATGGCCATAATGAATGCTTGCCCAGGGAGGACCATGGCAGGTCCTATGGCAGTCAAGCAGCAGGGGACTTGCAGCTTAGGGGCTCACTCTCTGATCCCTCCTTTGTCCCAGGAGTCCTGGATGGGTACCTGTTCTGCAAGAGCCTCTGCATGGATGCAGTTCAGCACTGGGGCAAGCAGTACGACACCCACAATCTGTATGGCTACTCCATGGCGATTGCCACAGCAGAGTAAGGCCACTGTTGCTCTGGACTCCATACAGAGCACATTATTGCTCTTGCTAGATGCCAGGTGCCAGTGTTTTACCTCTAAGACCTTCACAAGATGAGTATGGTCATTACTACCGAATGAAAGAAGAAACCACCTAGCACATAGGGAAGAAGGAATCCAATAAACATTTATGGAATGTATGAAATGGAAGTATGAATGAATAAATGAATAAAGGGGAGGTTGGAAGAAGGAAAGAGAAGTAACTTGACCAAGGTCAAACAGCTAATAGGGTGGAAAGGAAGATGTATGCTCATGTCTGCATGAGTCCTAGGCCTGTGTATTTTCCTCTCTGCCTCACTGTATTGATGGGAGGATGGAGGGTTAGGTGATTCAGACTTCATATGATTTGGGGTTTTAGATGCTGGCTCACCTTCCTTCATACTGTTCTGTGTCTGCCTTCATGTGTGGACTCAAACCCTATAGCGAGGAAAAGGTATTGAGAATGTACTCAAATGACCATCACAGTGATGGAAGGAAGCCAGACCAAAACCACTTTCATTCATTAGCACAGTCATGGTGTCATTTTAGCTTTCTGGCAAGTTGTTGAAAAAATTATAAAGCAAATGTTTTAAAGAATATAGCAGACTTCTTACTTTAAAAATATAGATGATCTATATTTATATTTACTTATAAAAATACTCACATAGATACATTGTCCTAAAATTTCTTTTCTTATTACAAAATTGTGACCAAAGTGTTTTTGCTTAAAAAGAATTTAAGTTCATAAGTTCATTTTTGTGTATGTCTAAAATCACACCCTGTGAAAGGTCAGTGTACAGGATGGGGCAAAAGTAGGTCTGCAGTTGTACGTGTGGAAAATAATACAGAAATTAATAAATAATAATACAAGAATAAAGTCTGTGTTTCCATGTACTCACAACTGTAAACCCACCTTTGCCCCACCTGTATATGTACAACTATGTGAAGTGAAATTTCACCATTGTTTCTTCAAAATCGTATACCTCTAGTTACTAACCTTTTCAAGTCTGCTTTGGAAATCCTTAGAAATTATGGAGTTATTGATGTACATAAAAACCTTAAAACAAACAAGCAAACAAACAAACAAACAAATATATATCCTTAATGGTGCAGTCTGCTCCCTCAGCAGCTCTGGCCCCGCTGGCCGAGAACTAGAAGAGGCAAGTGGGATACTGACTTCTGAGATCCTCGGGACATGTTGCTGGGCTGAGACACACCAAGGCCACACGTTGACTCCTAGGTCTCTCCCTTTCCAGAGCTGCCAAGACGGTGTTCCCTGAAAAGAGAAGCTTCATCATAACCCGTTCCACCTTCGCGGGATCTGGCAAGTTTGCAGCCCATTGGTTAGGAGACAACGCGGCCACCTGGGATGACCTTCGGTGGTCCATCCCTGGCATGCTCGAGTTCAACCTGTTTGGTATCCCAATGGTGAGCCCACATCTCAAGCTCTCTTACAAACCTCGATTCCCAGAAAGCCTCCTTCTAGAAAGTTTTCAAATCGTAAGGCTGCCTTCTCTTACCCTCCGTGGCCCAGGGATTTCATGTCTTTAGACATGTTTCATCTGTAGCAGTGTGGCTCTGATACCATGACATGCTTCCCTGTATTGCCTTATAAAGACAGAAAGTTCAAAAAAGCAATATCACTAGAACATTTCTTTCCATTAAAGTATAACATACACGCAGAAAAGTGTACATATTCTTAAGAATTCAGTTGATCAGTTTCACAAACTGAATACATTCAGTATCCAACACCCAGATGAGAAAACATAACATTTCCAGCACCCTAGGAGTTAAATTCTTTTAGTTAAATCCAACAGAGAGGTTTATTGAGCTCCTACTATGTGCAAGGTACTGAGTTAGGTATGTGTGGTGAGTGTGGGAAAAACCACAAATACAGTAACAGAAACACCTTCTTTTTCCCCAAAGACTTTCTAATTTAGTAAGAGGAGACATAGAAACAAACAATTATGACAAGCTAGGGTAAACGTGCCAATGAGGACATGTATGTCAACTGTGAAGGGAGATCTTGAGACAGGATCTCATTAACTGTGACAAGATTACAAGGAACAAGTGGGTCTGGGATGGGAGTCAAGAGAAACCTAATGGAAAAGCTAGCTCTTGAGTTTAACCTTGAAAAGTGAGAATATTTTATCAGACTCATGGGGGGAGGTTGTTTTAATATTGAGAAGTAAATATGAGCAAAAGCAGTAAGGGGGAGACCTTGGTGGGTCTGTGAGGGTTGGGGTGTAGAACTGAAATGAGAAATGAGGCTGGAAATGTGGCTTGGGGTCAGGTTTGAGGAGCTAACAGGATAAGCTGCCAGGGGACCTTGGACATTTTTGAGTAGGTGAATGACGGCGTCTGATTTAGGCCTTGGGAAATGAATTCCAATAGCAATGTGGTCAACATAATAATGTCAGCAGTATTTCTAGTACCTATTCATCAAAAAGCTCTTGTGTGTCAAGTGTTCTACTTATATTGTTTCATTTAGTAAAACCCCCTGTAGCTAATTAGTGCCTACTTTAACAAAGTGAGGAAACCGAGGCACAGGAGGGTTAAATAAGTGACTCAAAGTTGCCTGGCAGTAGAGGGGACACAGGATATAACCCAGTCGGATCACACCGGATTAACCTTCTCAGTAAGAGGTCGGCCAAGTTCAATTGGGAGGCCCCCTGGTAGAGCGCAGAGGGAGGTGTACTCCTGGGCCATCTGTGTGTGCTTCCAGGTTGGTGCTGATATATGTGGCTTCGCGCTGGACTCCCCCGAGGAGCTCTGCATGCGGTGGGGGCAGCTGGGAGCGTTCTACCCATTTTCCAGGAATCACAATGGCCAAGGCTTCAAGGTAAGTCTCCTGGGATAAAAAGTGTGGCATCCCTTTAGGATTGCATCTGTGGGCATGTAAGGAATGTGCTGAGCCATTCACCTACCTGGTGCTCACTCATGCTAAGTTGCACCACTGTTTGTTCATTTGCACCAGGACTTAGATGCACCAGGAAAATGCCCTGTGCCTCAGCTATTTGTACTGCTGCAGTCAGGGAAATGGCCAGTCCATGAAGGTTCTTACCAAACCTCTGCACACTCTACCAACATCACTCATTTTGTAATGAGAATTAAATGAGGAAATGCTTCAAAATTACTGAACTGTCTGGCCAGTGGGGCTCAGTTGGTTGAGCGTCATCCCATATACTAAAGGGTCGCAGGTTCAATTCCTGGTTAGGGCACATACCCAGGTTATGGGTTCAACCCCCAGTCAGGGTGCATAAGGGAGGCAATCAATCGATGTTTCTTGAGTTGATGTTTGTCTCTCTCTCTCTCTCATTCCCTCTTCTCTCTCTAAAATCAATAAAAACATAAAAAAAAAACCCCATAAAATAAAAAAAAAATTACTGGGCTGGCAGTCTCCTGAGAGCCCCCCTAGAGAGTGAGAGGAGGGTGTGGGGCTGCAAGGTGCAGAGTGGCCACTTACCTGGTGAAACGGTCTCCCTTTGCCCATCTGTACTGATCAGAGGCCAAGTTTGCAACCCAGGCTCCAGGTCTTTGAGAAGGGAACTCGTGGCAGTGACGAGTGGGCTCTGAGATTCTCCAGACTCGACTGCTGTGCGTAGCCAGGTCACAACCGAAACTTCTTCTCCTTCCAGGCCCAGGATCCTGCCTCCTTTGGAGCCGACTCTCTGCTGGTGAATTCCACCAGGCACTACCTTACCATTCGCTACACTCTACTGCCCTATCTCTACACGCTCCTGTATCGGGCTCACAGCTGGGGCAACACCGTGGCCAGGCCCCTTCTGCATGAGTAAGTCCACCTAACCCAAAGGACTCTGTTAATGCAACTGGGTGACATTGACTATATCATCAAATGTGAGAGTGCAAAGTAAAACTATTCAAACAGTATACATACACACACACACACACGTATGTATATATATACACGCACACACACACATATATATATGTGACTATATATTATGCACACACACACACACACACACACACTGGAAAACCCAGTGTGGTATTTGCAAGGCTATTGTTGCCTAGGTACTATTCTTGGGGTATAGTTAAGTATTACACCCTGTTCTATTTTGGGAAGGAGACTAGACTAAATGTCATGAGGCTGGGGGTTTTTGTTCTGTCACCAACTCTTTATCTTAGGCAAATCACTTTAGTTCTTTTATTATTCGTTTCTTTAATCTCAATGTAAAGAATTTGGTAGCTTGAACCTGATGGTCTCTTTTGTAATGTACTGTGTTCAGGCTTTCCTTGTCAAAATACAGTTGATGTCTTCAAGTGTCTGACATTTTAGGCCCTCAGACACATAGCTGCTCTATTATATGTTCATGATTTTGGGTAAGTTTTTGCCATCTCCTGGAATTCTCAGTTAAAAGGCAGATAACCTAAAAGAGAAAAGATTAAAATAGTAAATTATATGCTATTTTTCATGATCAGATCCAGTTCCTTCTTGATAGTCAGCTGAACTTTTAAAATGCATGACTGACTGACTTTATTTACAAGGGAAATACGGCAACTAGAATTCAGCCATGAAGCTGTCAAACAACCACTACTGTCCAAGCTGGGGAAGAACAGGAGGGTACATGGGCTGGAGAGAGCAGATCTCTGTGCAGGAGTGGGGAGGTGGGGTTGAAGAGGTGTCGTAGAATAATTTGTGTGTGGTGGGGTGCCCCAGGTAGAGAGCCTGTGTCTAGGAACATGTTGAGGGGAGAGCTTCCAGGAAGCATTGGTCCAAATCTCAGTGACTTTCTCCAATCTCCAGGTTCTATGGGGACAGCAACACTTGGGATGTGCACCAACAGTTTCTTTGGGGGCCTGGCCTCCTCATCACTCCAGTTCTACATGAGGCAAGTGTTCCCATAGAGACACACTGGTGGCCCTGTGTCTGGTCCTGCTGTCTTCTCCTTGGAATCATTTCTCTTCCCTTCCTTCCAAACCCATTTCCAACATGTGTGGCTGAGTCAGCCTTAAAGACAATGTGTGGGGTTTGGGGAAGTTGGATGTCTGATACTTACACGTTTTGTTTCTCTGGAAGACTTTTTTCTTGATCAAGTTTTCAACCAATGTAGAAGCATCTACTGACGACTCTGGGCTTAAGAATGGTCCTGTTTGTTGCCAGATCCTCAGAGCAGACCATCACTTGCTCCGTGAGGTAGAGGCAGAATAGAGCAGTGACCCAGAGTCACTCTAAAGTCAGGGTGTGACTGTTGCCTGTGCCACTTCGTACCAGTGTGATCTGGGTCTGGGTTATCATGTTACTTCCTTTGCTGTAAAGGTGAGAAAATAATAATGCCCACCGCTGGGGACTGTTGTGAAGCATGAATGAGATCGTCAATGGAAAGCTGAAATTTTCACCACATTTCAATATTGTCATTATTCCTAATGTGGTTCCATTTAGGATTATTTTTCGGTTGCCAAGTTATGTTACTTATGAAGAATTTCCCTAGGGAATGCTGGGAAATGAATTGTATCCCTTTCAGAGGCTGGGCCATGATGAACAATATTTTGTTTTAATTTCAGGGAGCAGAGAAAGTGATGGCATATGTGCCCGATGCTGTCTGGTATGATTATGAGACTGTAAGTAGCACTGGCATTTCTTAAACTCTTCAAGACCACAGCTACAGCTGTGTAGACAAGAGGACCTGAGTGTTTCTTAATGTCTTCTGTAATTCCAGCTGAGTCAATGACGTGAGCCCAAGTCACTTAACACCAGTCATGATGAAATCTGAAAAAAACATATGTTCATATACTTGATTCATCAATAAGATACAGACTCAAGTAGAATGTCTCATGGGTGAATATTGGAGGGGCCAATGGACAATTTGAGCTTGATCATGAGTTAGAACTATCAGTTCATATAATATATGTCCAATAGCCTCAGTGTGACGTACATGTTCCCCCCCAACCCCAACTGATTACAAAACCTGCTGTTCTGGATTTTTCCTCTTCTCTTGTTTGGTTGCTCAGTAATTCAGTAATTCATCGAGGTGGTCAAAGAGAGAGCCACAGATGACTCAGCATGTGGAGAAGAGCTGGGGGTGCATGTCCCATCATGTCAATGTCACTGGTTTGTCTTCATGCTTCAGGGGGGCCGATTGAGATGGAGGAGGCAGAAAGTGGAGATGCAACTTCCCAGAGACAAAATTGGACTTCACCTTAGAGGAGGCTACATCTTCCCCACCCAACAGCCAGCCACAACCACGGTGGCCAGGTACAGCATGACCGGAGTTTCCTTATGGGGCAGGCTGACAAAGCCGGTCCTTTTTGTGCCCATCTGTTCCCCATGCAGAAGATGCTGACATATCACGTGGGTGTGGGTGGGAAGGAAGATGTTCTGGTGTGTGTGGTGTATGTGTGTGTGATAGGGCATTAAACTCTGCCCTTAGGCCTCTTCTGAAGAACCTGTGATTTAAGTCTGTATCCAGATAGATTTTGAAAGACCTAAACCCTGTTCTCTCTGAACCCTCCTGAATTTCTCCTCAAAACATACTAACTCTAGGGTGGTCAGCATCCCTTGTTTCCCCAGGACCAATTTAACTTTAGCACCGAGAGTCTCATGACTTAGGGAACCTCTCAATTCCAAGCAAACAGGATCTATTGATCACCTTACCTGCCCTGGCCAGACCATCCATGCATCACACTATGCTTTGGACTCACCCTCATTTCTAGGGAGTTGAGGACGGAAGGTCCACTTTCCATTTCCCTATAATCTCAATTTCCCTTTTGTTTCTTCCTACTGAGCCACTTCTTTCTTGTGATACAAAAGAGGTCTCAAAAATTACTTCTTGTGCACTTCAGATCACCCTCCTATCACTGATCTCTCTTATGACTCTTTGATTTTAAAATTATGGACTCCATCTGTACTAAGAAGGCACACATTTATATCTGTGTCTCTACAAGTATTAGCTTATTTATTCTCAATACACTGGAAGTTCTTTGGAGGTTAGAAACCTATCTTTTCTTTGGAACTTCCCTTATTTACCTTAATTTTTCAAATTTTGACTTTTTATAATACTGATGGACAATACTTCTACATCTAATAGCAGTTGGTTTCTTTTTCTCTAATTGTTCAACTTCATGCTGTTTTGCATACTGATACCAAACTTATCTTTCCCAAATGAGGATCTCAACGTGTTGCTCCTCTTGAATGTCCTACTAATGCAAATTCTTACATTAGTAGGACATTCAAGATCAACCACAATTGATTCCAAGTTAGTAATTGTGTCTCTGGAGACACATTAACACACACTTATAGACCACCATGCCAGAAATTTTGCTATTCCCCCAACACACCCTTCTATTTTACTGCATTTGGGCTCTAGCACTTATTACCCTTTCCAGCAGTCTTTGCCTGATATATTCTTTTTTTAAACATTAAATTTATTGGGTGGCGTTGGCTCATAAAATTATATAGGTTTCAAGTGTACATTTCTGTAATACATCATCTGTACATTGTATTGTGTACCCACCACCCAGTCAAATCTCCTTCCATCACTATATATTTGGCCCCCTTTACCCTTCACAACCTCTTCCACCTTACTTCTCCTCTGGTAACCACCATACGATTGTCTGTGTCTATGAGTGTTTGTTTGTTTGTTTGTCTTGTGTATTTATTTGTTGCTTTCAGTTTTATAGCCCACATATGAGTGGAATCGTATGGTTCTTGTCTCTTCCTGTCTGACTTATTTTGCTTAGCATGATATTCTCAAGATCCCAACAATTTTTGCCTGGTGCATTCTTAATACTCCTTCAAATTAAACTCAAACTTCATCTGGAGGAAATGTCTCCCAACTCTTCCAGCAGAGGGGTACTGCCACTTCCAACTTTTTGCTCATATTTTATACCTTTTTGCTGTTTAGCTGATTTTTCTTTCATTCTTAATATTGTTAAGTATGTCAATCATCATTATTTTATACTTCATACTTGAAAATCCTACTATTTAAAGTCCTTAGTAGAATCTAAATCAATAGTTGTTTTTTGCCAACTTTCTTTTGTACTGGCATATTACCTTGCATGATTAGTAGTTTTTTTTGTTTGTTTGTTTTTTTGGTACGTGCCCCTAGTGGGAACTGAACCTGGGACTCTCTGGTCCACAGGCCGACACTCCAACTGCTGAGCCAAACTGGCCAGGGCAGTTTTTGTTTTTCAGATGTGGTGATCTTGAAGATCTCAATGTGGGTCTTATTCTTCTAGAGACGATTTGCCTTCTCTTTGGTTGCAAGCCAAGACTGCTGTCAACTAGGGATCACGATAGCTCCCTGGAGGGGCCATGTGTTGTATTTTATCTAGGACCAAATAGCATTTTAGTGGGTGGGTCCTTCAGAATGTCTGGCGTCCTCCATAATGTCCACCCTACTGCTGAAAGTGTCATTCTGGACACCAGACTCCGATAAGTATTTTAACTTTTTGGTCATGCTTTACTTTCTCCTTTAATTATTTGGTGAATATATTTAATCTTTCTTACAATATTTAAGGTCACCAGTGGGGTGTGATTTGTTCATCTTTGTATCTCTTAGACTTCTTAGCAAATGAAAACAACTCAACACATACATATGAGATGAAAGCAGGTGTTTTTTTTTTTTTTTTTTTTTTTGCATTTACCTTCAGATAGAGTGGGAGGGAGAGAGGGAGGAAGAAAAAGAGAAAGAAACATCGATGTGAAAGAGACACATCGACTGGTTGCCACCCACATGACCCAACCAGGACAAGGGATGAACTACAACTGAGGTACGTGCCCTTAGTGGGAACCAAACCGGGACTCTCTGGTCCACAGGCTGACGCTCTAACCGCGGAGCCAAACCACCAGGGCTGAAAGCAGGTGATTTTGTTAATAATAGAACCCAGCTTGCATAGGGCATGGTGGAAGGCTGAACTGGGACAGAATGCAACAGAGACTGAGACGTCACTGAGGGATAAACTGTGAGCAGAAAATTGGGAGGTAGCCTAGAGGCGTGCAGACATAAGGAAAGAGTCCAACGGACATTGTTCTTTCTTTCCCCCTTGTTCTCTATGTCCATCTATTTCTTTTTTTTTTTTTTTTTGTTATCCTCACCTGAGGATATTTTTTCCACTTTTTGTACAGATAGAGTGGGAGGGAGAGAGAGGAAGGGAGAGAGAGAGAGAAACATCGACGTGAAGGGACACATCGAGTGGCTGCCACCCGCACGACCAACCGGGGCCGGGGCTATGTCCATCTATTTCACCAGCTTAATTGAGTAGTGTTTTTTTTTTTTCTCATTCTTAATTATAAAGCAGGTCATTAAATGTTTCATTTTTCTCTCCAAACTAGTAATGGATAATAAAATTAGAAAAGGTGCCATTCTATAGATAGACTTTATTGTATCCTATTTCTTTCTGAGTCAAAATGGTTCTCTGGCAGGGAAATGATATATCCCCCAACCACAGTTAATCCATATTCTGCATGTATCATCTCTATAATGATTAGGCAGCCTGCCTTAAACACCAATCAGAAAGAATATATGTACCCCCATGTTTGTAGCAGCTCTATTTACAATAGCTAAGATCTGGAAACAGCCCAAATGTCCATCAGTAGACGAATGGATAAAAAAGCTGTGTTACATATCCATAGTGGAGTACTATGCAGCTGTAAGAAAGAAAGAGCTCTTATCCTTTGAGACAACATGGAGGGACCTGGAATGTATTATCCTAAGTGAAACAAGCCAAACAGAGAAAGACAAGTATCATATGATCTCACTTATTTGTGGAATATAATGAACATAACAGTCTAAGGAGTGGGGTAGTCCCAGAGACGTGGAAGTGGGGTACAGACTAACAATCCCCAGATGAAGGGGTGGTGGGGGAGAGATAAACCACCGAACTTATATACATGTATGCATGAACAATGGACGTGGACAACAAAGCTGGGGACAGGGTGGGGAGGGATGGGGAGAGGGAAATCAGTAGGGGAAAAAGGAGAAACATCTATAACAAAAATAAATAAATTAATTTAAAAAATAAAATGATTAGGCAGAACAAGTAACTGTCTAGGATTTCTCTGTCTTCTGATAGTCTATATTCTAAATAATAGTTACATCAGCAGCTTTTGTTGTAACTACTGCGTGATTATGGTGCCTCCTACATAGATGTTTATTACTAATGTTTGGGGGCAGTTCTGTTACTGATTCTTGAGAAATATGCACCTGTTGATTTTGCCTGAAGAAAAACAGGGAGTCATCTGCTGTTAGGGTCCTTTTCCATTTGAAATCTGATAGAATCATCCCTAGCTCCTTTGACAACATTCTGAGTGTTAAGTCTGTATCTCTTACATAAATCTCTTCTCTCACAGTCGACGGAACCCTCTGGGTCTCATCATCGCCCTAGATGAGAACAAAGAAGCCAAAGGCGAACTTTTCTGGGATGACGGGGAAACGAAAGGTGAGCCCTGTCATGATGATGTCGCCCTTCCGGAACCCGCGTCTTTGAGTTGGGAGAAATCTCTCCAGGCACAGGAGCACTCTCACTCAAGAGAAGAGTTTTGCTTTTAGTGGTACTGTTAATGGGTAGTGGTAGACGGACCACTGCTGGAGGAACACACATTTCTACCTCTTAGAATTCTCCCACTGGCCCGCAATATTTACAGGTTCTCATTTTATTGCCAGTGGGCACCTGAAAGAGATGTTTTCAAGACTGTTTCTGCCATTCAATGTAGTCATCCTCCCCCCAAATACTAATGAACAAATGTCGATGATCTGAGAAACATACCTAGTGAAACCTAACTGTGAGTCTGTATCTAGTCTCTTAGCACATTTTTCTGTCTCCAACATGCAAAACAACTCTTGCGGCTGAAGCGTAGGAAACAGACTCACTTGAGGCATATGCCTTGGAAGCACTTGGAAGGGAACCTTTTCTAGGTTAAAGAAGAAAGGAAAAGGGGGACAGTGGCTTGGCCTGGGGGACTCTGTCTATAATCTGGTCATTCTCAAGATGTCGTTTCAAAGACAGCCAGGTGAAACTATATTCTTCTGTGGTGGGCACACCAGTCTGACTTGTCTTTCCCTCACTTTCAGATACTGTGGCCAATAAAAATTATCTCTTCTGTGAATTTTCTGTTACCCAAGTAAGTAGCATATTTTTGTGAATATTACGTGTGGGCTATTGTCTGACCACCAGGTCATGTGTGTTTGTGTATGTGTATAATTATATTTGTAGCTTCATATGCATTTATGGTACAGGTGAGCACATTCTCGCAATCACTGAATCAACCCTGTTTGTAAAAAGGAGGCAATGAAATGGATAAATCAAAGCAGTCAGTTCTTTAAATGTAGTTTTTAAAAATCTCCCTCTCTCTTTTTTGGCTTAGAGAACATTAAAATAAGTTTGTACGGATTAAGTCCACATTGGGAGAGAAGCCAAACCAGTTTGGGGTATCTGACCTAGGATGGAGTATCTGAGTGACTTGAGAATCTGTTTTTTACACTTCGACCTTTGTGCCTAATTGTTTTGCAGAACCGCTTGGATGTGAAGATTTTGCAGTCATCCTACAAAGACCCCAATAATTTAGTCTTTAAAGAGATTAAAATCCTTGGGACCAAGGAACCTAACAATATTACAGTGAAGAAAAACGGTGTCCAAATTCAGGTTTCTCCTAAAGTCACTTACGATTCTAACCTACAGGTAAACATCTATTTGGTTGAGATGGTTTATCAAGAATTCTTCACAGCTCATGGTGTTCCTTTTTACCAAGGTTGCATGGGTCCTGAAGGCCCAGAGTGTACTCTGAGGCCTGGGGTGGGCAGTCAGAGGGTTAGGAGAGAGAAAAATGAGAAGTGGGCCAGAAGTAGAATGAATGAATGAGGAGCTGCCGGCAAACTGAAGGAAGGTCCAATGGTCTTTTCATCCCTATTCCCCTCTTGGTTCCTCTGTTCTGCCTGACTGGGACAGAAGAGCAGAGTCAGGAGTGTGAGGAATAGGGTTAGAAGAAAAGTAGATCTGAAAGCTTTTGGCTGATGCTCTAGAGGTAAAGATGGGAGGGGAATTCCCCACTAATGAAAATTTTGAGGTGTTTTTTGTTGTTGTTTTCACTGTACTGAGATAAATAGATTCTCACTCCAACACATACATTTTTAGGGAATATGTTAAGTCAGAAAATTTGACAAGCCTAGCTAATTAATGGCTATTTATTTGGTTAGATGATAATAATATGCTAACTTCATCAGGTGTGAAAAGACCTGATGTTCCTGAACAGGTTCTGATCAGCTCATCTGATACTTTAGCATTCTGAGGGACCCGTTCCTCAAGTACTCCTTACTCCAGGTGTGACCAGGAATTAGGAGCTGCGGGGTCAGCATGGTTTCTGAGGGACCTTCTACATATAGTACATTTAGTGTTCTACTATAATGATATATCACTGATATTTGACATTTTGTCCTAACAACATCCATTGAGGATGCGTGCATCATAAAGTTAGAAATAAAGCATTATATTTTTGTTTATGAGTGCAGCAAAGTGCAAGTCATTTGGTGGCTATACATACGAAAACAAACTCAATATATTTTTGTTAAATAAATTAATTAATATAAGACCAAAGGAAGTCTTTAGCTGTTATAATCTGGGTGGTGGGGAGACATGATTTATATACATGAAACTATTGGAAAGGGGACAGGCAATGCAAATCACATACAGAAAGTGTTAACTTACATTATGCTAACTTAGTGTTCAGAGCTTTAATGGAGTAGTTTAGCAAAGCCCTTGCAGTCTGTATGGCTGGAACTGGAATTTGAAAGCCGATGCATCAGCTAGATACTCATATGGCTGCAAGTGACAGAGGACCCAGTGAAATGGTGGTTTAAATAACTTGAGATTTTTTTCTCCTCTTATGCAACAAGACCTTTAGAAAGTTGCTGGCATTGGTTCAGTGGTTTGAGGTCATCAGGGTTGAGGTTTTTTTCTTCTCTTGTGATTAGTAGTGCTTCCTGCTTAATTCTAGTCACTATGTCCTCATTTTAGTACCGAAATAAAAAAAAGGAAGCAGGAAGCAAGCAGGCTCTTAAGAAAGAAACACTTGGCTCAAAGTTTACCTATTAATGGCCACCACTCTGTTACATGAATTACAAATTTAATTCTTAAGTGGGAACTTTAGTATTCTAAACTGAAATAATGAGTAAGAAGAGAACTTTTGTGTAGGGAAGGCAACTAGCAACGTATTCTGCAGATGGGCATCATTTTCCTAGAAAGGGCATTTGCCTGGATAAAGCATTCAAAGTTGAGATTTCAGAATAAGCTAATCTAAGGATAGCCTTATATTAGTAAGAGATTAGCCTTTCATTAGTCTGTGAATATTGTATAACTAGAATAGGTAGGATTCAGTTTTAGATGGAGATCAGTTTGGACAGATCATTTACAGTCAGATTTTGGAAGGTCTTAGTACCAAAATGAGAAGGATCTGATCTAATTTCAAAGGGTCACATATTGATCCTCAAATCAAGACTGTGCAATTGTAAGAGTGTTGTTATGGGGTGGGGGTGGGGGGAGATTCCTAGTACAGGGAAGTACAAGATGAAAGTAGACTGGGAAGAGACTGGAAGAAGGATATAATTTTATAACTCTAGACAAATATGAACTTTCTCTAAGGAAATTGCTAAATAAAGAAGAGACAAATGTAAAAAGATACATAGAAAACTATTAAATATTTGAATGGGTGAGTGGGATGTAAAGAAGTTTTCACGTTTTGAGGCTTCGGGCTTGGAGAACTAAAGAGGCTGGAATGTTAGAAATGGAAGAGAATGGAGTGATTTTGCCCACTCACCAATTTGGTAGCTGTTGAAACTGGGACCCAACACATAGAAATAATTTGTCTAAGTTCCCACAGTGGAACGGAGATGAGAACCCAGGCCGTATTATCTGTATTCCTTTATTCTTGCCATCCGTCCAGATCAATGGGGGACACTGATTTGGGAATGGCAGTCAAGAAGATAAACTCAATTTGGGATGACACTTGAGCTTGTGTGTGTTATGCTGTAAGGGGACATGCAGAAGAGAACCTTCCAGACAAAAGAAGGAAGAGCATGCAGAGTCAGGGAAGGAAAGAGAGGAATGATTACAGATTTGATTAGACCAAATTCTTTTCAAAGTATTATATACAAGATTCACATAGACTTGAGACCTCTGCCCTGTTGCCAGTAGGCAGTTTCCTCCCCCACCCCCATATAATTCTCCGCGTAGAAGCTCCAGTGGTACGACTTGGATTGTTGAGTCTGGTCTGATTTCTATTCCACTCCTAAAAGAAATTTCAGATCTTGCAAGGCCCATGTCCTGAGAGTAATTTCCTTGTCACTTCCCCATTCCTGTAGGTCGCCCTTATCACAGGACTTGACCTGGTCCTGGGAGAAGCATACACTGTGGAATGGCACCTGAAGACAACGGAGGCAGAAAAAATAGACTGTTATCCTGATGAGGATGGTGCTTCCGAAGAAAAGTGTACTGCCCGTGGCTGTGCCTGGGAGGTAACCATGCAGATGGCGTGGTCATACATGAAACTTCTTTCCACTTAACCTACAATTTCATGAGCATAGCACCAACCAGCACCTATGTTCTTATTTAAAATCCACAGAAAGAAAGGACTTCCAAAGAAACCTGAGTTTTTATTTGGATATGAAGGGTAGGAAGGGACAGAATAGAGACCAGGAATTTAAACTTGTATCACAATCCAAGACTATATAGGGACATGAGTGATGGTCTGGATTTAGCTCCCTGTTAATTGCCTTTTCCAGCCCCTTTGTATTTGATCATCCCAGGACCACATGCTGAACTGACTTTGGCTTTCCTTCTCAGGCCTCCACTTCCCCAGGGGTCCCTTTTTGCTATTTCACCAGTGATCTATACTCTGTCAGTGATGTTCGATATGACCAACACGGGGCCTCAGCTGTCATCTCTTTAAAGTCTTCTCTCTATGCCAACGCTTTCCCCTCAACCCCGGTGAAGTCCCTCCGTCTGAACGTGACCTACCACAAGAATGACATGCTGCAGTTTAAGGTACGTGCTTACAGCCGTGTGTCAAGTACTGACTGGGTACTTCTCAGTCCCATTACTTTTTGCTAGTCAAGGTTACGGAACCCTAAAATAAACCTGCTCTTCTAAATGAACTATGCTGTATTATTCTAGGTCATTATCCTAAGAGTTATGAGAAATCAGTGATGGTGCAAGGAGACCTATTCTTATTTGCGTTCTGAAAAGATTGCTGTGTCTACTGGAAGGAACATGGTCAGGAGGACAAGCGTGGAAAGGAGAGGCAAATAAGGAGGTTACCAGTTAGGTGATCTAGATGAGGGCTCAAGCTCAGACAAGGTGCAGGAAGGAGATGCGGAGCAGTGGACGTCTTTGAGAGAGGAGGAGGTAGTGTTATAGGATCTGGTGATGATTGCAAGTAGGTGATAATGAGAGGGAAGCATCAGGGAGTATTACCATGTTTCTAGCCTGCTTCTCTCTATGGATGATGGTGACACTAACTGGAGTGGGAACCCTGAAAAGGTTTGATCTTGGGCAAAATAGGATGATGAGTTCAGTTTTGGACATTGAATGTGGGATACCTGTGAAATAGCCATGGGAATGTAGTGATCTCTTTTTTTTCTATGATTTATTACATCTAAGGACCAGTGATGGACTCTTTTGTGTCTGTTTCTCTGTTAAAGTGTGAGTTTCTGAAAGACAGGGATTTGTCCTTTCATTTTTGTGTTTCTGAAATCGGTAGATAATTAGCACTCAGATGTTCATCGAGAGAATAAATGAAAGACATCAGGCATTACCTGAAAGGTTCTTCACCATCTAATGTCGACCTGGACTATGAGTCCCAGTACATCTTCTAATGTAAGGATGAGGCTCTTTTATATTTCTGTCCTCACCACAGCACTGGTAGCATATGATAGCTACCTAATGGGTTTAAAATAAATGAACTTGCTTAGGTTTCCAGCTTTAACTTTTTACCAGTCTGCCTCCTGATGACACAGTAGCTCTCTCCAAAATAGTTGCCTCTTTCTGACTCTGCTTTAATACTCAGCGCCTTTGTATTTACTTCTCTACCAGGAATGACTTGATGTCCTTCATGTGCTTAGTTGAATGGCTACACAGCTTTTAAGACTCAGCCTGTGTTTTGCCCCATCTCAGTCTCCCTGAAACAGTGTTAGGCATTTCTTTCCCTCCATTGTCACCACAGTGCTACATAGCTCTGTATTTGCATGTACCACCCAGGTGTTGTGGGTACCTCTCTCTCATCTCCCATTAATGTGAATGTCTTAAAAACAAATGTGTCTCATGCAGTTCAGTTATTCCTAGTGTCTAGGACAGTATAAGCAGGAATATACCAGATATTCAGTGAATCAATTTAGATCCTATTTTTAGCAAGGGCATTGATATTTTTTAATCCAGTAGAGTTTATGCTTTTTGGGGGGATTTTTTTTTTAATTCGGAAAATTGTTCAGGTATTAACATAGACTTATACACCTACACACCAAGTAATACAAGTAATAAATAACATATTCACAAATACCGCATTGTTTCTAGACTGATTTTCCAGGATAGCACCAATGACGAAGTGAATGTGTTACTGTAATAGAGGCCTTAAAAAATGAGATAGGGCAGACTCAAATCAAATGTTACGTCTGACACTTTGATATGTTAATTAAATCCAGAGTATCATGAGCTTAAGGAATACAAAGAAATATAGCATTCAGACTCTTTGTCAAGGTCATAAAAGTTTTCCTAAAGGTATACGCCTGAGTGCTACACTTACCTAAAATCAATTTCCTCTGTCCTTAGATTTATGATCCCAACAACAATCGGTATGAAGTCCCAGTTCCTCTCAATATACCCATGGTTCCATCCAGCACCCCTGAGAGTCAACTCTATGAAGTCTTCATTAAGGAGAAACCATTTGGGATTGAAATTCGCCGGAAGAGTACAGGCACCGTGATGTAAATGGCTCCAAGTCTGATTTGGAATTGATGATTACCTGCACATTCATTGCTCAGTCCATTGTCCTTGGAGATATCCTGGCTCAAAGCACCACAGTATCCACTTCCAGATTCATGAATAAGTTATTTCCTTTGAGCCTGTTCTTATGAGAAAGCGTTAGTCTCCTGGGAATAATTATGGAGGCAGTTGCATGTACTTAGGTATTTGTTCACTTAGGCATTCATTCAACAAATGTTTATGGAATGCCTTCTCTATATGGTGTGGTTATAGAAGATGAGGTTCCCCTTTTCATGACCAAAAATAATAAGTAAACAAAAGAGACAATTCAAGTTAAAATATAAATAAGGAGGTTTAGATAGTGACCTCTGCGATGTAGAAAAAGAGCAGGATGATTGAGCGTTGTGAGAGCTTACTGCTTTGGACACTATGGTCAGAGTGGATCTCTCTGAGGAGTTGATATTGAAAATAGGACCTGAGTAAAGAGATAAGGAACCCATGTGGAAATCCAAGGGGTGGGGAAGAAAATCTCAGACAGGTGAGCTAGAGAGTGCACAGGCCATGAAACAGGAGCAAACTTGACATATGATGGGGAGAAATGTCCAATATGGTTGGAGCAGTATAGCAAGTAGGGAGATAAATGATGGGAGATGAAGCTGGAGTTTAGGTGGGTTTCAGATCAGACATGGCCTTGAAGATTTCACAAGATGTTGTAATGGAAACAATGAAGAATTATAAACAGGGAAGTGACATGATATTAGATATTTTCAAAAAATTCACTCTGGATGCTTCCTAGCAAATGGACTGTAGGGGAGCAAGAGTAGCAAGGGGGGTTGGTAAGGAGCAGTAGCAACTGAGACGGAGAAAGTGATTGCAGCGGGCATTCTAGAGGGAGAATTGAAAGGAGGTAGTGACAGAGGAAAATAAGGGATGAAGCTGGCTCCTGGGCTTTCAGCAAAGGCATCTTTAATTATCTTAATCAAGTAGACTTTATGTTTAATTTGAGAGATTAACAAAGTTCTGGGTGGAAGAGGAGGAAATCAAGAGTTCAGTTGTCCTTGAAAAATCAGTTGCTTGAAGCCAATAGAACAGCCCATTTCTTTTCCAACGATACCCTTTTGTGTTGCAGTTGGGACTCTCAGCTCCTTGGCTTCACCTTCAATGACATGTTCATCCGCATCTCCACCCGCCTTCCCTCCAATTACATCTATGGCTTTGGAGAAAATGAACACAGAACCTTTCGGAGAGATTTGAACTGGCACACATGGGGGATGTTTTCCCGAGACCAACCCCCTGGGGTAAGGGCAAAGTGTTGGGATCTATGTCTTTGCCCTTCTTTGTCCACATAGTGTACACTTCATGTTTCATCTTCTCGGACTCATCTTGGGTGGTCACATTCTGCTTTGAGAAACAGGCCAATTCTCAGGCTCCTTTGTTTCTTATGCATTTAATTTATTTTACAGAGAAGACTAGATATACCTCATCAATCAATTTTTATTGAGTTTCTTAGCCACAATGTCTTTTAACCACTTATTCATTTTTTTTCATGACTTTCCCAGTACAAGAAAAATTCCTATGGCGTCCACCCCTACTACATGGGACTGGAGGAGGATAGCAATGCCCATGGAGTGCTTCTGTTAAACAGCAATGCCATGGGTAAGATGCCAGCATCTTCCCTTATCTTTGTGAGCCAATCATTCTTGAGGAACTTTAGAATGTATTTGACCTAGGTGAGCCCTAAAGTCAAAACCATTATCATGTAAAGAGTTTTGGTGTCTTCTTAGCCTTTCTATTTAGCCTTTCTGTTTATTTCAATTCAGTAACGTATTAACAAGAATTAACTAAACTTTTATTTGGCAAAAATCATGTAAGAAGATATAGCAAAACCTAGCAAGTCCCAAATATCCTGGAGGTTAGCTAGTGGGAACCATCTGTATCATTGAATTAGTGAGAAAGCTACAGGTCCAAGCATTCTCTCTGGGAGTATGAAGAGGTAAAGGAAATTTGTATGGTATATTGGAAAGAGGTTGGGAAAGGAGGAGGTAGAGTGGAAAGCATGCATGTAAAAAGTAGTAAAATCTGAATAAAGTCTAAACCTGAGTTAATGAAATTATATCGATATCAGTTTCCTGGTTTGGACAACTACAGTGATTATGTAAGATACTATCATTGGGAGAAGCTGAGGGAAGCCTACAAGGGGATACTCAGTACTATTTTTGCAACTTATAAGTAGTAAGTTATTCTAAAATAAAAGCTACAATAATTAAAAAGAGCAGAATGACAAAACATATACTAAGATAACAAAGAACATCAAAGGGAAAAAATTCACACATGGGACCCTGTAGACTTTCACTTAACTTCTTCAATTCTGTGTAGGTACAGTACAAAATACTTTCTCGCAATCCAGAGGCATAGGAAAAGAGAGAAGTTATGCATTTCAGGGGTAGTTTCTCACAATGAAGGTTTGCAGAGTTGCTGTTTTTCTACATTTTCAGATGTGACATTCCAACCCCTGCCTGCATTGACATACCGCACCACAGGAGGAATTCTGGACTTTTATGTGGTCTTGGGGCCAACTCCAGAGCTTGTCACTCAGCAGTACACTGAGGTAGGAGGGAATTCAATTGGTTACCAAGTTTTTACACAGTATATTTTGTGTTCCAAACCCACATTCATTAGTATAGTTCTCAGATAATAACTGGAATTATTAGTCATACTGGGAGACAGGTAGATTATTAAAATAAAGAAGAATATGTGCATCTTAATAATCAATGAATTTATAGCCTCTCAAAGCATTGCAGAGCAGCAGAATTAATAGAATCAGTGGTGGTTGTGGAGGTGGCAATGGTGGTGATGGTTGTGGTGTTGATTTGGTGGTGGTGGTGATGTGATGGTGGTGATGTGATGGTGATGATGGTGGTGGTAGTGGTGATATGATGTGATGGTGGTGTTATTGATGTGGTGGTGGTGATGTGATGGTGGTGATGATGTCATGGTAGTGGTGATGGTGGTGGTGATGTGATGGTGTTGATGTGATAGTGACAATGGTAGTGATGGTGGTGATGTGATGGTGGTGGTGGTGATGTGATGGTAGTGGTGGTGGTGATGTGATGGTGGTGGTGTTGATGTGGTTGTGGTGATGTGATGGTGACGATGGTAGTGATGGTGGTGATGTGATGGTGATGATGGTAGTGATGGTGGTGATGTGATGGTGGTGTTGTTGATGTAGTTGTGGTGATGTTATGGTAGTGGTGATGGTGGTGGTGATGTGATGGTGGTGGTGGTAGTGATGGTGGTGATGTGATGGTGGTGGTAGTGATATGGTGGTGGTGATGTGGTAGTGATGTGATGGTGGTGGTGTGATGTGATGATGATGGTGATGATGGTAGTGATGGTGGTGATGTGAGGGTGGTGGTATGATGTGATGATGATAGTAGTGTAGTGGTGGTGATTGTGGTCATGAATGGTCATGGCAGTTGTTTTAGCAGCAATAACAAATGTATATAAAACTTACAGCATGTCACTAATATATGTCAGAGAACTTTATATACATATATAAGTCATTCAGTACTCACAAAAAACATGTGAAGCAAATACCATTCTGATCCCCAATTTACAAGGGAAGAAACCGATGCATAAGAGGTCATTTAATGTTTGCCCAGGGTCACCTAGTCAGCAGAGATTGGAGCCTTTATGGTAACCTGAGCATTTTGCCTCTGGATTCCGTGCTCTTAACCAGTGAGCTAGACTGCCTGTAGGAATCAGAGTAAAATCAGATTTTCCAAAATTCCTGGGGAGGGTGGTCCAGTCTAGCAGGAAGCTTTCTCCAAGGTACCCCGTGGCTGTGCATCTTCTCCGTTTCTCTCTGGATTTGAATTTGCTGATTGTCTAACTTGGGGTGCTGGAAAAATATTGTTACTATTTTGTGCAAAACTTCAATCCGGATTCTACTTTTTAAGAACTGATATTTTCTGTCTGTTTTCTAGTTGATCGGTCGGCCAGTGATGGTTCCTTACTGGGCCTTGGGGTTTCAGCTGTGTCGCTATGGATACAAGAGTGACTCTGAGATTGCCAGCTTGTATGATGAGATGGTGGCGGCCCACATCCCCTACGTACGTCCTCAGTCTGCAGTGTACTTATGCTGGGACCTCACAGTCAACCCCGGTTGTCTCTGTATCTGGATCCATTTGCCTTCTTTCTGTGGGGTTCTGTAAAGTTACAACATGCTTTCTCATGCAATATCACACTGAGCCTCACCCCAACCCAGTAATGCAGGAGGGGGCCACGGTCCTCATTTTGGAGTCACAGCGATTTGCCAAAGGAGGAGGACGTGGGGCAGCTCCAGGGCTCTTTCTGCTAGATCATACTCCCTTTGCTGTGACATGACTTCAAAAAACTTAGTCAAAGACATCCTTGGTCCACATGAATAAGAAGATCCCCCAAACAAGAGTATTGTTTCATTTTAAAAACTCAACCCAAATTTAGTCAGACCATTGCATGTGCAGATAGAACCTCAGTTCCAACACTTTGCCGGCGCTGGAGTACAGTGCTCCCTCAGCTTTGAGCTGACCCGGGTTGAATGTAGGCATCTTGGAACTGGCTTCCAGAGGAAGGGGTCCAGTCATCAGAGAATTGATCCTGCGCACCAATTACGTACATATTTAATTTTATTCTCTTTATTTATTTTTTATTATTTACAGCTGTTTCTATTAATGAAAAGTGTAGCATGCAATATTTCTTAACAAGAAAGCTGTGTTTAACAACCCCCAGGATTAGATATTCCAAAGCAATTACAGGTTTTGTTTTGTTTTTGGTAGATTCACTGTCCATGTTGTGTTGGGACTGGGTAGTTGACATTATGCTGTTTTCTCTGAACTTGAGCCGGTGATACCAGGGTAGCCTCTTGGAGGAGGCAGCCACAGTCACTCCTTATATTGGTCACTTACAAGGCACTTCCTCTTCCACTGTTTTAATTTATCCTCAAAACAGCCCTGCCAGATAGGCATTATCATCCTATACTTGGCTAATTTGGTTCTTTCTATTTTATAAAAGAAAACTAGAAAGTTAGGTAGATTTCCCAGGCCCTAGTACCTGACAAATGACAGAACTGGGATTTGAAAGAATCCAAAAGAAGCCATGTGAAGTGCACTACCGGTTGGGTTAGTGGCGGGTCCTTCTCATCTGGAACCTGGATATTTGCAGCCAGCAGCCACTCAGTTCCCTTGTGTGTCCCCCAGGACGTGCAGTACTCGGACATTGACTACATGGAGCGGCAGCTGGACTTCACCCTCAGTGACAAGTTTGCTGGGTTCCCAGCTCTGATTGCTCGCATGAAGGCCGCCGGGATGCGCGTCATCATCATTCTGGTTTGTCCCTGTGTGAATGGGAGGGGTCTCTTGGGAGCATGAATGAGCTTTGGTGGAGAAACTTTCCACGTACTGTGTTTTCTTCCATGTTGTGAGTAGAGAAGTGAAGGGTCAAAGAGAAAAGTGTATTTTCCAGGATTCAAAGAAGCTCTGCAGTTCAGGTGGAAGGTAGTGCCTTCCCGTTGGAGGAGTTTTTCTCTTTTCTGTCCCCAGTCATTCTCTGGCTTTGGTCTTCTCCCCTGACCTGTGCGTTGATTTTAGGACCCAGCCATTTCTGGAAATGAGACACAGCCCTATCCCGCATTCACGCGGGGTGTGGAGGATGACGTCTTCATCAAAGCTCCAAACGGTGGCGACATTGTCTGGGGAAAGGTATGATCCTCCAGGTGACCCAGCCTGGGGAGGGGTAACTGTTAATGTGTCTGTGCCCATTGTTCTTTGGCCTTTTCCATATGGGCTCTGAGGTTGGAAGTTCTCACTTTCTCAATCAATGTCTGTCGACACGGTTAAGGACTTTCTAAGGAATGTATATGCATTGTGAGATGCACTTCTCTCTAGATCAATCCCATGTGAAAAATGAAAGTATTATCATCTGTAGGACCATGGTTTATAGTTTCTTAGGAAATGCTCTAAAGAAGTTATTGACTGCATTGCTTTTGAATATTCTTCTCTCCACAGGTCTGGCCTGATTTTCCCAATATCACTATCAACGGGTCTCTAGACTGGGAGAGCCAAGTGGAGGTAAAGGGCCCTTGGTGGATGTTGGGTGAAGTCAGGGTTGCCAAGAAGGTCTATGATGGCTGGTAGCAATCTTTGTTCGAATCCTCCATCGCCCTTCTCTACCCTGTGTTTTCCAACCTGCCTCTGTTCTTGGTGAAAGATTCTCTTCTTCCGATTCCGTGTTTCTACCTCTGTCTTCTAACAAAAAGGTTCCCGGCCTGCCTCCCTCTCAGACTCCCAGGGACGTGGCTCACTATTCTCTCACATCTCTGTGAGACAGATCTCCACATGCTGATCAGTGTCTGCTTCGTTCTGTTTCTGCCTTTTGTCTATTGTGTGTGAGAGCTGGAGTTTCCCGCGATTGATCGATTGATCGATCAAGTGATCAAGTCTTCTTTCTGCGGCTCCTCTTTCCCCGACTCTTCCGCCAGCAAGACTGAGCTTTTTAACTCTTAAAGTGCTGAACATAGAGGAAAGTCTCCATTGAGACATGCAAAGGACCATAAAATTCTATAAGAAGCAGCATGGCCTATATAGACATTCATGACTCTGTGCTGCTGCTAAGTGGTATGAATTCACAGGTAGGCACTGAGCATTTGTTTTATGTCAGGTTCTCAGCTAAACACCATGGAGGAATCAGAAGAAAATGAAACCTGGTCCTTATGTTAGAAAATCTTACAATATAGTTAAGGAGTTATACCTTGGGTTCGCTTTCCAGGTTAAAGTGAAGACATGACTTTTATTGTTTGAGGACATTAAAGAGAAAGGGGAGTCCTCCCAATAAACTTGACCCACAAGTCCTGTTTTCAAGTGATTCTGAAACTAGAGAAAACACAGATGCATACTAGTTAGATGGTCCAATATAGTAAAATACAACCTTGCCTCTCACCCACTTTCCCTAGTGGGAACGAGACACGAAAGAATCAACTGGATGTTTCTTTCCAACCTGTTGACAAGGCATCTGATGTCTGCCCCTGTGGGGCTGCAGGTGCTCTCTGGCTCACACTTGGACTTTGAGGAGTGCCTAGGAAATTGCAGGACAGAAGCTGAGGGTTGGGCATCTAATACATGAGATAGTGAGATCAGGGGTTGATTGCTACTGCTCATGTTGATACGGAGAGGAAATCAGTGTAAGGCTGCTTTCCAAAGGCTAAGGAGGGGCCTGCTTTGTGCTGACTTTTTCCCTGCACTATTGTATTTGAAATGAGCAAAGACCGTTGCTGAGGCGGGTTTCAGATGATCTGTCACCATGTAGTACAAGGCTGTGCATGAGTTAAGCTCTGAGCAGGTGCCTGTTTGCTGTCTGATATATTTGTTTGGGACAAATCAATTGTATTTAATTCTTACAGCAATATCGAGCTTACGTGGCCTTCCCAGACTTTTTCCGGAATTCAACTGCCACCTGGTGGAAGAGGGAGTTGAGAGAACTATACACCAATCCACGGGACCCAGGGAAGAGTTTGAAGTACGATGGAATGTGGATTGTGAGTGTCTGAGTCTGTGTGCACAGGGGTGGCTGCGTGTCTACCTTCATGTGTCTAAGTGTAGGTATCACTGGCCTTTAATCAAGGACAATGATAGCCCCAGAGACACTTTGGACATATCAGACTGCAGTTCCTCCCATCAGGAGTGGAATATCCTGAGAGTCCTTAGACCTTGTACCTTGCTGCGATTTCCTGCTGTAAAACTTCGAGATCATTACTGGGAATTTCTTGCAACTGTGACTTGCTTCACACCCTGAGGGAGAGTTAAAAAAAAAAAATCCTCTAGCAGTCATTCTTTAGGGCTTAATTGATCTTTCTAGTCCGTTCTCAGCTGGATTTGATGATTACTGGATGGTGAATGATTTATTCACTGCTTCCTCCTCTCTGAGTTGTCAGCATGCGGCTGTTTTAAAGAGTAAGATGTACCTGTGTTTGATGTTTCTAGGATATGAATGAACCATCCAGCTTTGTGAATGGAGCAGTTCCTCCGGGCTGCAAAGATGCCCTTCTGAACCACCCTCCTTATATGCCACGTAAGGGCCCTGGGTCTCTACTGGCAGAGCCATGGCTACAGGGAGTGACCCCTGCAAGAGCCCAGCAGCCAGGGGCTTATCCTGACTGCTCAGGGCACATCTGCAGTGGGGCTTTGGTTTGGGGAGGGGGATGGGCAATGACAAACACACCTCAAGCATTTTACCCAGTTGGATGTATGCAAGTTACTGGCCTCACTGGGTGAAGTTTTTGAGTTTGTTCAGAAAACACTTAACAGTGGAAATGTCTCCAAAGGATCCTACAGCTTCCCTCCTTCTTTCTTCCGGCTCATGTTAATCCCCCCATGAGAATCTGTTGTGGCACCAGTGGGGGAAGTAGTGGCTTCTCCTTATCATGGAGTTGATGGGCTTTGGCGTTACACTTGTGTTCATGTTTTGGCCCCAGAACGTATTCTCTCTGTGAGTTGTATGACCTTCAACAGATCACCTGATGTTTCTAAACCTTCGTTTTTGGAACTGTCAGAGGATAATGATACCTTCTTCATAGAGTTAAGAGAAGAATGACATGAAATCATTAACATGTTAAAAGCCCAGTTGGGAGCCTGTCCCATTGTGCTTGACGACACCGTGTTCTTCCCCATGCTCTGGGCTTTCTCCTGGAGAACCTTCCAGAGGACTTGATGTGGAAACATCTGTGGGTGCCACTGCAGCCCACAGAGCTTGTTTCCAAGCCTCTGGGAAGGAGGGGGACCCATGCAGAGGTCGAGTTCAATCCCTTGAAGAGAGGTCAGCGGTAAATCGGATTGGAGGTGGCTTGTCCATCACTGCCTCTTTCTCCTCAGATCTGGACTCCAGGGACAGGGGGCTGAGCAGCAAGACCCTGTGCATGGAGGGCGAGCAGATCCTGCCCGACGGCTCCCGGGTGCGACATTACGATGTGCACAGCCTGTACGGGTGGTCCCAGACCAGACCCACATACGAGTGAGTGTCATCTCCCTTCTCTACGTGGCACAACCCACAGGGATAGCCAGTGACTGATGACGCTACCCTGCGTCTCCTCTCATTCCCTCTTCCAGTGGGGTTAAAACGATTTTCATGACAACTATGTAGCCATTCTCACTTATTAGACAAATGACTCATGAACATGGAGCCAGGCCCTGTAATCATAGTTAACAGGACAGATTTAAATAAGGGCTAGTCCTGTCAAAGACCGATAGTCCTAAGACTGTGTAGCTCCTTTATTTCAAAAGTCACTTATCCTTTTTGGGATTTTGGTGTTTTTTTTTTTTGGTCATTCTTGTTGGGTTAGCCAACTGGTGTTCTACTGAATTAGACTTGCCTGGTTATGTGAGCTCAGTCAATGAATAACAAGATTTATCCTAAGGAAAGCCTTATAAAGCAATTCACCTTCTTCCTTCCCAAATGTATAAAACTAAATACTGAGTAAATAAATGGTAATATTTGGTGATTACTCATTGTTTTTAGGTGCTCCAGTGAGTTTATCACATGGTGAAGTTCTTTGTAAAACACTATACACACTCTGAAGGTCTGTTACTATTCTCTCCATCAGCCAGGGTTGGACCTCATTGTAGCTCAGATTTTCATATTCCCTCCAGTAACAGGAAGTATTCTGTCCCCATGCCCTGGGGTCAGAAGTTCTGGGAGAAGAAGCTTTGTGGCCTTTCTTCCCCTGTTCTGGTCTCAATCACCTCCTTGTTCCCCTCCAACCAGAGCGGTGCAGGAGGTGACAGGACAGCGAGGGGTCGTCGTCACCCGCTCCACGTTCCCCTCTTCTGGCCGCTGGGCAGGACACTGGCTGGGAGACAACACAGCAGCGTGGGACCAGCTGCGGAAATCTATCATTGGTGTGTGGCTCGTCCCAGGGGTCTCCGCTGGTGGGGAGGGAGATGGGATCCTCGCTGCAGGCTCCTCTGAGGAGCCCGGAGGAAGTGCCTCTGGAGTGGGTGTCTGACGCAGCGTGGTTCTCATTGCAGGCATGATGGAGTTCAGCCTCTTCGGCATATCCTATGTAAGTGCCTTTGCGTCACTCCCAACGCCCAAGAAGGTGGAGACATCTTTCAGAAATCATCAACAGGCTTATTTTCTTTCATCTTGTTTCAGACAGGAGCAGATATCTGTGGGTTCTTTAACGATGCTGAATATGAGATGTGTGCTCGCTGGATGCAGCTGGGGGCCTTTTACCCCTTTTCCAGGAACCACAACACCATCGGGACGCGGGTAGGATGGGGGTGTCGCTAGGAGCACAGCCTGCGATTCTGAGCTGGTCCTATTCCACAGAGACATCTTTAAAACTGTTAACCTCCTAGGATTCTTTCTTTCTTTCTCTCTCTCCTTCCTTCCTTCCTTCCTTCCTTCCTTCCTTCCTTCCTTCCTTCCTTCCTTCCTTCCTTCCTTCCTCCCTCCCTCCCTCCCTCCCTCCCTCCCTCCCTCCCTCCCCCCCTTTCCCTTCCTCCCCCCCCTTTCCCTTCTTTCCTTCCTCCCTCCCTCCCTCCCTCCCCCCTTTCCCTTCTTTCCTTCTTCCCTCCCTCCCTCCCTCCTCCCTCCCTCCCTTCTTTCTTTCTTTCTTTCTTTCTTTCTTTCTTTCTTTCTTTCTTTCTTTCTTTCTTTCTTGTACACTAATATATTGTGAAACAACTATCAGAATTGGGTTAGTTAACACCTTTATCACCTCAGATTATTACTATTTCTTTTTTTTGTAACCAAGACATTGAATTTACTTTTACTTTCTTAGCAACTTTCAAATATACAATACAGTGTTGTTAACTATATTCTCCATGCTGTACATTACATCCCATAACATACAGGCTGGGGCAAAAGTAGGTTTACCATTGTGAGTATGTCAAACACAGAGTTTATTCTTATATTATTATTTATTAATTGTTGTAATTGTTTTCCATATGAACAACTGCAAACCTACTTTTGCCCCACCTTGTATTTATTTTGTAACTGGAAGTTTTTATCCTTTGACTGATATTTCTCTATTTTCCCCAACACCCAACCTCTGATGACCACTGTTCTAGTCTCTGTTTCTGAGTTCCACTTATTAGCATTCCTTTTAGATCCCTGTATTTAAGATAAGTGTTATCATTACAGTAGTTGTCTTTCTGTGTCTGACTTATTTTACTTAGCATCATGCCGTAAAGATCCATCCATATGGCTGCAAATGGCAGGATTTCCTATTTTCTTGTGACTGAATAATATTCCACTATATACATACCACATCTTCTTTTTGAAAAAAATTTTTTTTGTCTATTGATTTTAGAGACAGAGGAAGTGAGAGGGAGAGAGAGAGAGAAACATCGATGAGACAGAACATTGATTGGCCGCCTCCTCCATGCCCCCCATTGGGGATCGGGCCCACAACCTGGGCACGTGTCCTGACTGGGAATCGAACCGGCAATCTCTGGGTGCATGGGTCAATGCTCAACCGCTGAGCCACACTGGCTGGACTACCACACCTTCTGTATGCACTCTTCTATCAGTGGACATTTAGGTTATTTCCATATCTTGGCTATCTTGAACAGGGCCACAATGAACACGGGAGTGCAGATATTTCTTCAAGAGACCAATTTCGGAAGAGTTGGGTCATATGGTGGTTCTATTTTTAATTTCTTGAGGAATCGTCATGCTATTTTCCATAGTAGCTGTACTGATATAAATTCCTACCAACAGTGTGCAAGAGTTCCCTTTTTTCCACATCCTCAGCAGCACTTGATTTCTTTTGTCTCTTTGAAATAGCCCTTCTGACAGGTGTGAGGTGATGTTTAATTGTGGGTTTGATTTGTGTTTTCCTGTTGGCCATTTGTACATCTTTTCTGGAAGTTAGAAATCAATAACAGGAAGAAAACTAGAAAATTGACAAATATATACAAATTAAACAACCAATGGGGTCAAAAGATAAATCAAAAAATACTTTGGAACAAATGAAAATAAAAAAACACATACTAAAACATGGGCTGTAGCAAAAGCGGTTCTAAAAGGAAAGTTTATAGTAATAAACTTCTACATTAAGAACAAAGAAAAATCTCAAGACAACAGCCTAACTTTACACTTCAAGTAAGTAGAAAAAGAACAACAAAGTTAGCAAAAGACAGGAAATAAAGAAGATCAGAGCAGAAATAAATGAAATAGACACCAGAAAAGCAATAAAAAAGAACAGCAAAGCTAAGAACTATTTTTTTTTAAAGAAATACAATTTATAAACCATTAGATACACTTCCTATGAAAAAAAGAAAGAAGTCTCAAATAAATAGAATTATAAATGAAAAAAGAGACATTACAACTGATACCACAGAAATATCAAGGATCATAAGAGACTACTATAAACAATTAATTATATGCCAACAGATTGAGCTACCAAGAAGAAACACATAAATTTCTGGAAATATACAGCCTATCAGGACTGAATCATGAAGAAATAGAGAATCTGAACAGATCAATAATGAGTAAGGACATTGATTCAGTAGTAATAATAATAAAAAATCTCCCAAAAAAGAAAAGCCAGATGGTTTCCCTGGAGAATTTCTATCAAATATTTAAAGAAGAATCAATGCCAATCTTTCTCAAACTCTTCCCCAAAATTGAAGATGATGAACACTCCCAAACACATTTTACAGGGCCAGGATTACTTGATACTAAAGCCAGATAAAGATACTACAAGAAAAGAAAACTACAGCCCAACATCCCTAATGAATATAGATTCAGAAATCCTCAATAAAATATTAACACACCAAACTTAACTACACACCAAACGACTCACACAACATAATCAAGTGGGGTTTACCCTTGGGATGTAATGGTTCAACATGTACAAATCAATATATGCAATATACAATGTTAATAGAGGGAAAGATAAAAATCATATGATTGTCTCAATAGGTATAGGGAATAAAAACCATATGACAGAATACAACATCCTTTTATGATAAAAATACTCTTCGACAAATTGGGTGTAGAAGGAATGTACTTCAGCATAATGAAGGCCATATAAGTAAGACAAGCCGACACCTCTGAAACAACTCTCTTTCTCCTTTAGAGGCAAGACCCTGTGTCCTGGGATGCTAAGTTTGCGAATATGTCTCAAAGTGTCCTGCAGACCAGATACACCATCTTGCCATATCTCTACACTCTGATGCACCTGGCCCACACGCAGGGTAGTACTGTGGTGAGGCCTCTTCTCCATGAGTGAGTGTCTAGCTGGAATCCCAATGACTAAGGGATACTTTTATTCCATGTGGTGTCAGTTGAAGAAAAGAGTCATAGAAAGTAACATGGTTCAGACTGACAAACCCCAGAGGAGGGGGGGAGGAGGTGAATGAGATGAACCAAAGAACTTACATGCATGTATGCATAACCAATGGACTTAGACAACAATGCTGGGGGGAGGGGCGGGATGTGGAGGAGGGTGTTTGGAGGGCGGGGAGAAACATCTGTAACAAAAGTAAATTAATAAAAATTGAAAACAAAAAAGATAGTCTTTCCAAATTAAATTAAAGACATGATTGCCTTTTGCCATGAGCACTCTAGGCATATAAATATGTAATTTAGCCCAGTATTATGGATACCCTGGGTCTTTAATAAGAGGCTATTGAATTAAAACATTTTTTCAAAGTGATACAACACAATACTTTCTTTCTAAATTAAGCATGTGAAGACCTGCCTATCTTTTATAGAAGCTCAAATCATGACACATTCCGGGGGGAGATTTACGACATAAAGGCCATTCTTGTACTTAGGATGTGCCATGGTTAAGAAACATGGAGATATTTGTAGGTAAGAACATGTCAAAATCTAATCACATCTGGGGTTTCAAGAACATGACAGGAAGAAAGGTAGAAAAGGTAATTTATGGTAGAGAAGCTGGATTTCTGACTTGGGTCTGAACTTGAGGAGTTTCTTCAAGGCCTTGGCCTGGGGCCTGATTGGCATCCTGATTATGGTACCTTGGTTTGCCTTTCCAGGTTTGTGTCAGACCGGGTGACCTGGGACATACATGATCAGTTCCTGCTGGGCCCAGCCTTCCTGGTCAGCCCCGTCCTGGAGCCTGTGAGTATGGGGGCCTCTGATGAGCTGAGGTCCCAGTTACAAAGCCTGGTGAATGGGGTGAGGCGAAAAGGCCTGACCTGGTGGGGACCTGAGAGGTGGCTTCTTTTTTTTAATCCTCGCCTGAGAATATTTTTCCATTTATCTTCAGACAGAATAGGAGGGAGGGAGAGAGAGAGAAACACTGATGCGAGAGAGACATATTGACTAGTTACCTCCTGCATGACCCCAACCAGGGCCGGGCACGAACCACAACTGAAGTACGTGCCCTTGATGAGAATCAAACCTGGGACTCATTGGTCTGTGGCCCCACGCTCTAACTGCTGAGCCAAACCAGTCAGGGTGAGAGGTGGCTTCTTATTCTACCTCTGTCTCTTCCTCTCTCTCTCTGAGCTGAAATCCCTCATTTCAGTGTTCTGGTCCTCAACTCCCTCATCTTTAAAATCACCATAACAGATTCTGATTCATAGGACAATCAAGAAGGAAGAAACCTTATGATATATTTGAAGATAGAGTTATTTCTTCATTCATGAAATACAGAGTGTGGGTCAGGTAGGGTCAGTACTGTGAAGATTCATCACAGTCCTGTCTCCATTAAAACAAAACTGTCATAAGTAGCATTTGAAACAACGTGTATGATCTTATTGTTGGGGGTTAGCCCTTCCCTTCCTGCTACAGGAGGTCCTCAGGCCGCAAAAGCCATTTCCTTACGTTTTCTGTGGATGATTAGGTTTCTGATGAAAACACAAGTTAATTGCATCTTCTCCAAAACCTATTCACTAGTCATAATCTCCGAAGTACTGGCACCGGAAAACCTACAATGTTTTCTTCTGCTCCAGACCCAACTTCTTTTCTTTCGAGGGGGTATATGGGTTAAGTCTATAAGCAGATGATAATTTCCCCTGAAAGTCCTGGATCCCAAAGGACTTGACAGAAGCCACCAGTTTGGGGCAGGCAAGTCTCCCGTTTGAAGCAGGGAGAGAAAGAAGGCTCCCCCATAGTCCTGACCTCTGCTGTTGTTTTGAGCACGTGGGTTACTCTGCCTTTGGTAACTGGACCCCTGCCCATGACTTGTTTGTGTTTGATTTCAGATGGCCAGAAATGTCACCGCGTATTTCCCGAGAGCCCGCTGGTATGATTACTACACGGTACGTTTTTTTGGTCATGTATACAACCCAGGAAAATGGGAACCCGCTCAGGCTTGAGAATCTGGCAGCCTTCCACTCACACTGTATCTAGCAGTATGTGAGATACCCACCTGCTGTTGATCTGGCATAAGGCACATTGAACCTTGCTCACCCTCAAGTCGGGGAAAACTACTTCCCTGGTAGGGTCGGGAATTACACCTAAAGCATCTCAGTTACTGCCTGGCCTTCGTGGGTGTTCTCTGTGTTCGATTTTACCAGCTCTATTCCCTATGGTACGTCAAGGCAACACACTGGACACTACTGTAAACTATACTTTTTGTTCAATCCTCCCCTTCTAGACTGTCAGTTCATAAGCACAGGGGTCTTGTCTCTCGCTTTATTCCAGTCTCCTTCTACAGCACAGATGCTCCAAGAGGAGCTGTTCAGGTAATTCCCCAGGGGAAGCAGTGTCTCAGGCGTGTATAACATGCACAGAGGTGAGGCCCCCCCCCCGGAACAATGTGTGTGTTTGGAAATGCAGGCTGAGCACATTCTCTGTCATAGCACATTTCTAGGCTCTTCTGTGCCCCAAAACTCACCTGGGAAGATAGGGTCTTCCAGAGCCGTTTCAGGGCAATATTCTTTTATAATTAAATGTATCGGGGTGACATTAGTTCATAACATTGTGTCGGTTTCAAGTGTACAATTCTATAATTGCACATTGCACCGTGTGCCCACCCCCTGAAGTCAAATCTTCTTTCATCACCGTGTATGTACCTGACCCGCTTTACCCAGACTGCCCCCCTCTTCCGTCCGATAGTCACCAAGCTGCTGTCCGTGGCTCTGAGTGTTTGCTGTCTTGTTTGCTCCTTTGCTACATTCAGTTCCATATCCCACACATGGTGGAATCATAGGGTTCTTGCCTTTCTCTGTCTCACTTATTTGACTTCGCGTGATCTCCTCAAGATCAGGGCAGGGTTCTTGAGGAGGAGTCCCAGGGAGTGTTCCCCTCTCTGTCACCAGGCCTCTTCTTGTGACTTTTCTGAGGGGAGCAAAACAGAGGACTGCGAGTACAGAGAAAGACGACGGCGGGAGGGCTGGAGGCAGCGCGAACTCTGGCCCCTCTCAGCCGAGGGATTCGCGGCGGGATGAGGGGAAAATGTTCATTTTCCTTTATATTTTGTACCCAATTCCACTGGTAATGTACAGAAGTACCACTACAAGATACGCTATCTTATTTAATATTTTAAAAGAGGAAGAGGACAGATGTTTTACAGATGTTGGCCAAAGCATAGGCAATGCTTGGGCTTGGTGAGGAAGACTGGAGGCTGAGGCTGTCCACGGGGAGCGAAGTTGGGGAGCAGATCTTGTCTCTAAATGGGTCTCTTTGTTGTCACACAGGGTACGGTGTGCTTAAGTGAGGCAGGAGGTTACACGTCATTCATGTAATTACTATTTCTAGATAGCATAAATGTCTCTCTCTTCCATTCCACCAAGCATCAAGTTAACCTAAATGTCCATCTTGTCTATTCAAGGGAGCATATCCGAGCATGTACACCACCCCACCCAGCACCAGAAAATACCTGAATTTCTAGCCAGAGAAGATACTTCATACAAGAATTCTTTGTTTATTTTTTAATCCTCACCTGAGGATATTTTTCTATTTATCATCAGATAGAGTGGGAGGGAGGGAGAGAGAGAGAGAGAGAGAGTAACATCGATGTGAGAGAGACACATCGACTGGTTGCCTCCCCCAAAACCCGACCAGGGCCAGGGTTGAACCGCAACCAAGGTACATGCCCTTGACTGGAATCAAACCCAAGACTCATTGGTCTGTGGGCTGATGCTCTAACTGCTGAGCAAAACTGGCCAGGGCGATACAAGAATTCTTAATATAAGTTGGCAAAATTTCAGAAACAGTTTACATTCCCAGCAACATTTGATGAGCATGTTGATCTCCCTACATCTTTGTCAATTTTGACTGTTAGGTTTTCTTTTAAAAAATGTTTATGTTCATCTCGGTGACTCTTAAAGGCAACATAGTTCTTCATGTTCATCATTGACTTGAGTTGTGATTATCTTTTTGTTGTTGTTTTATCCTCACCTGAGGATACTTTCCATTGATTTTAGAGAGAGGAAGGGAAGGAGAGAAAGAGCAACATTGATGTGACAGAGAAACATCTATTGGTTGACCCTCAGATGTGCCCCAATTGGGAATCAAACCCGTGACTTTTTGGTGCATGAGATGATGCTCCAACCAGCTGAGCCACCCAGCCAGGAAGTTTGTGATCACCTTTGACAGGCCATTGATATTTCTGTGACCTTTCTATCCTTTTGCTATTTTCTTATAACATTTGCTCTTCAACTGTTTATGATCTTAGAGATTTTAACTTTTATATAGTTGAATTAATGTTTTAAGTTACTACATTTATGCAGTGAGTAGAATTCATTTAGTGAACAGGATATACCTTTTTTTCCCTCCCAAATTGTCAAATTCCCCAGTATTTTTGTTTACTAAACTTTTGTTGTAATATACTGTTCTAATATATGCTAGAATTTGTCTGAAAGAATTTTCTTTTCTATTTTTTATTTGTTAATTTGTTAATTGTTATTCTGTCAGTATGGAAGATTTTTAATGATTGCATATTTGTAGTACAATTTAATGTGTGATAGGCCGATGTTCCCTTATTTTGTTCAGAAATGTTTTTGATTATTATTTTTATACATTCTCCCAGAAGACATAAAATAATTTTGTTAATCCAGAAAGTAAAGCAAATTTGCACTAAAATTTTTATTAATTGTGTATAATATATATAATATATCACATTATTATATATTATATTAATATATTATGTTTTATTACATAAATTAATATATACATATATCTGGGAAGAAATGATAAATGTTATATATTTGTTCCTAGAATGTATATATTTTCACCATAAGATATGAACCAAAGTGTTTCACGGAAGCAATATTTATAAAGTGGCATAAAACTGAAATAAACCAAATGTCTATGTGAAATGGACTTAATGCTATAGGGCAATGAAAATAATGAACTTTTGCTACATAAATGAAAATGAAAATGATAAACATCATAAACATAATATTGAGCACAAATAGTCATATATAAGAGAGTAAGAATATATGATTCCACTTATAAAATATAAGTTCAAAACCAGGAAAAAGTGATAGAAATGAGAACAGTAGCTACCTTTGGTATGAGAGGGAATGAGAGAACTTTCTGGAGTAGAGGTAATACTCTGATCTTGAGCTAGGTGGTGATTTCATGGGTGTGTTCACTTGGTAAAATTTTATCGCTCCCATTGTTTATGTCCTATTCGGTACCTGCGCTACTGAAAATTTAACTAGAAAAGTCACATCCTCAGAACGACAAGACAATATTATGTTTAAAATAAGAAAGCATGCCATGAACAGGCATGCTCACAAAAACAATCCTTGGAAATTAAAGGCATGGTGCAGATATTTAAAATGCTGTTTAAAAAGAAATCATAAAATGCGCCTAGGAAAGCACCCAGAAGGTAGAAGATAGATGGATGCAGGAGAGAAAAGGAAGAAAAAGCCGAATTAACTTTATAGTCACCACTGAGGTTTATGACCGCAGGTCAGTGAGCACTTCTCGCTGTCACACATAAGCCAAGAGAAAGAATTAAACACAAAAGAAGATAGAGCGAGTCTAAGATAAGGATTTGTAAACACAGTCAGCTCACTTTAATCTTTTCTGTGAAATGTGCCAAAGGTGTTAGTTAAGTTGGTGGGTGTGGGGAGTGGGGACAGTATCAAGAGCCAACAGGAAATGAATGAAAAGATCATTCAACCTCCTCTGGCTGCCCTCTGGGCCACAGACATAGGATGTGGAGTGAGATCCATGCTATGATGTCGTAGGGTAGGTACTGTGGAAACCCCCAAAGGCAAGGGACCCTGATAAGACATTGTGGCGGCCATGCAAGATTCCACACAGGAGCTGGGTGGATGTGGGAAGCTGTAATAACAGGTGTGTGTGGAAGATCATGAACAGGTAGCACGTTCGGAAGAGTGGGCAAGATGACTGGTCTCCCTCATCATCTCTTACCTTCTCCTGACCTGCAGGGTGTGGACATTAACACAAGGGGACAGTGGAAGTCCCTGCCAGCCCCTCTGGAACACATTAATCTTCATGTCCGTGGGGGCTACATCCTGCCCTGGCAGGAGCCTGCACAGAACACCCACTTAAGGTGAGTGCTGGGACCAGTTAGCTCAGATCCTGGTGGAGCCCTCCGATCCGTGAGCCGTACTCTCGGGCCCAAAGACAATTTTACTAAACATTTTTGTTGGTAAATGCGTGTTTGTTTTTCTAAGCTTTTTTCAGACTCTGTGCTCTCTGAACAATTATCAACCACTATTTTAGTTAGATCTAAGTGGGTGAGAGGCTAGGTCTGTTTAGTGTTGACTGACATGGAAGTCCGATTGGAGCGCCGTGACCCATGCTAGTTTTAGAAGACTGGTTCTCACCGGACTCGTTGCTAAGAAGACTATTTGCTGAAAAATTGAGTAAGCCGCAATGCAGCTGATGCCCGAGGCTGAGATTCTTCATGTACAGAGTTTAAAACTCTAGACCTAAACCTACATAATAAATAATAGCTCACATCCAGTGAATGCTGTCTGTGTGCCTAGAACTGAAATAGTGGGGACATTTCTATTTTTTCTTTGAACAACAAAACAAAAAACCCTGGGGGTGTAAGTAGTGCTGCTATCCCCATTTTATAGAAGAGCAAAGGGGCTTCGCTGAGATCTGGGGAGCGGGCAGCGATGCCCTCAGAGTCGCACATTTAGTAAGACGTTGAACAGGGACTAAAATCTATGTCTCTCTGATGTCAAACTAAAATTCTTAGAGCCTTGCTCATTTGAGTCCAAAAATTCAGTTACAAACTGAAGAACTTCGGACATTAGTAAACAGAATTCACTGTACACGTATTTGGGAAGTTAGATCGTGAATGAAGAAAGACCACAACATCAGGACTTTCCTCACAATGGGAAAGGGAGGAAATCCATTGAGTTTGCTTGGAGTTTCTGGTAGAGCTTACAGAACCTTAGAGGAAAGTTCCCCTTGCTTCATTCATTAGTTCATTCATCCCTGGTATGAAGTCAGAGCTAATGGAGACAGAACTAAGCTAGGTCACACGTCTCTTGAAATCTAGCTCTGGGTCTTGATAGCATAAAGGACTTCCTTTCTATTTTTTAAAAACCCTTCGTTTGAGGCTGTGGCTTGGTTTTTAGCTAATGCCTCTCTTCCATTTCACTGCAGCCGCCAGAAATTCATAGGCTTCAAGGTTGCCTTGGACGATAAGGGAACTGCTGAAGGTTGGTTCTTCTGGGACGATGGGCAAAGCATTGGTAAGTAAGGGTTGCCTCAGATTCATGTCAACACCCTTGACTAGGTTCCTGGATATCTTATAGGTCTGCTTTTCCTTTTTCATGTTAAAGCAATTTTTAAATATAGCTGTTACTTTGCAGTGAGTAATACATAGAGTACTTGATCTTTTTTTTTTTTTTTTTTATCCTCACCCGAGGACATTTTTCCATTTTTTGTACAGATAGAGTGGGAGGGAGAGAGAGTAAGAGAGAGAGAGAGAAACATCGACGTGAAAGGGACACATCGAGTGGCTGCCACCCGCACGACCAACCAGGGCTGGGGACAAACTGCAACCGAAGTACGTGCCCTTAGCGGGAACCGAACCCGGGTCTCTCTGGACCGCAGGCCGATGCTCTAACCGCTGAGCCAAACCGGCCAGGGCTAGAGTACTTGATCTTTATGTTGCATGGAAATGAAGCATAGCTCAGGGTCTCTCACTGTTATCCACTGGCCTAATCTACTGCAGAAGACAGCAGTATGGGGGCCATAGTGGAAATTCCTTTGTAACCAACTGAAACAGCCTTCTGTTCAAAGACACATTCCCTAATTGCATGGTTTATTGTCCCAGTGAGAGACACAATGCTTCCTTCAGCTGTGCTATTTATTTGGGGGAATTTTCCATTAGAGGTTTACAGGAACTGGTGAACTCTTGAGAGGATGACTCAGGCATCGTTGGCTATTTCTAGGCCAATGCTGTCTAGTCCAAGTTTCTGTAGTGATGGAAATGTTCCCCATCTCTGTCGTCCAAGGTGGTAACTGTCAGTCACCAGTGGCCAACAGAGTGCTCGAAAGGTGACAGGTGCATCTGAGGGTCTGAACTTTCATTTTCATTTGACTCAATTGTAATTTAAATAGCTACACTTTGCCAGTGGCTGCCTTACACAGCACAATTCTGAGGCTAGCTCATGCCCTCTGATCCAGTGAGTGGTAACCAAATTAGAAAGAGGTGAGCACAAGAAGATGAGTGAGAAAGCCAGAGGGTAGGGAGCAGGGTGGGGACACCTGTAATGAGGCTCTGGTAAGTCCACCTTCACTGGATACACTGAGCTTCACATTCTCCCTGGACCTGTGGCATAAACTGAGGATAAGAGGACAGAGAGTTTTTCTTTGGTTTTCTTTATTCTTTATTTAAGATATTGTCTAATATCTCTCTCTCTTTTTAATTTTTTTTCCTCTATTGACTTTTAGAGAGAAAGGAAGGGAGAGACATAGACACATTGATGACAGAGAACATCGATTGGCTGCCTCCTACATGCCCCCTACTGGGGATTTGGCCCACAACCTGGGCATGTGCCCTGACCAGGAATCAAAGGGGCAACCTCTTGGTGCATGGGTCAGTGCTCAACCACTGAGCCACACCATCCGGGCATTGCCTAATATCTCTTAAGACAGACTGACCAAGACACCAGTCTTGGTTGTGGCTGTGATATGTGTCTACATCATGTATGTTTGCATATGTGTGCTTCTCGCAGAAGCAGGATGTTCCGGGGTGACTAGGAAGATGTTGGGAGAGGTAGACCACAGGGGGAGAAGTGGGTTAAAGGATGGTATTGGGAAACCACATTATGTGGGGTGTCTCTGTCAGACAGATGTATCTTCACACACTCGTTCCACACATCCTGTGCAGACTAAGGTAGGGGCAGAGTCTGACCCATCTCCATACATGGGTCGTAAATCACAAAGTGGGAATCTGTAAAGAAAAAAGCAGAACACAAAAATAATTTCTATTCTCTCAACCAAGATGAGTAGGCAAAGATAATTCTAAGCAAAACTCCAGATCACGTTCACCTTGTTGTCTGTTTGCAGATACCTATGAAAAAGGACTTTATTACCTGGCCCACTTTTCTGCCAGCCAGGTGAGTGTGACTAATACCATGAAGGGGACTAGAGTTCTACTGGCTTAGTTGGATGCTGAGATCATAAGGCCATAAAAGACCACCTAGAATAATTCCTTCCCTGCCCACCTTGCTCATTTGAATCCTTCTCTTTCTCTAGATACCAGATAGATTTAGTGTGCTCCCAGGAAGTTTTCTGTGATTAGACCCATTCATGAGTTTCATCAGTAACTTATTCCAGTTTACCAGGCAGAAGTAGACAGGCTATTTAAAAAATATATATATATATATTTATATATATATGTTGTTTTGATTTTTTAGAGAGAGAGATAGAAACGTTGATGTGAGAGAGAAACATCCATCAGCTACCTCCTGCATACCCCCTACTGGGGATTGAGCCTGAAACCCTGGGCATGTGCCCTGACTGGGAACTGAACCAAGATCTCTTAGTCCATGGGAGGATGCTCAATCCACTGAGCCATACAGGCTGGGTTGGACAGGCAATTTTGATGTTATCTAGCCCTTGTCCCTATGTTGCTTTGGAATGATCTGCACATTTTCTGACTTCTCCACATGGAGAATAAGGTTCCTGATAGCTGAGACCCTTTGTTTCCTCCGAGTTCAGGTCAATTCTAGAGACCTTGCAGGTGCTTTTTAGCCAATGAAAATTTGTTTGGGAGTTGGCGACAGGAGATAGAGTTGTGAAATCGTGGTCTCCACTACAAGGACACAAGATAGTGACTCTGAAGAAGTCTTACTTCATGATCTAGTTTTGTGCCTAAAAAGAGGTGGGAGAAAATTTTAACATGTTTTGCTTTTCTTCTGGCTTCTTGTATTTCCGATTTGACAGAATACAATGGAGAGGCATGTCCTTTCAAACAAATACATCACCGATACAAACCCTTTGAGTCTGGGCTACATCGAGATCTGGGGAGTGGGCAGTGACTCCATTTCCAGTGTTAGCATGTCTTTGAGCAACAGGGTTATAACACCCAGCTTCACCTACTACGCTACAAGACAGGTTTGTGACCGGTGCAAAGTCTGAATGGTATTTCCCAACCCTGAGGTGCATTATGCAATGCTTGCTTACTTCCTTCTAGTGACCCCCTCTCCTGCAAAGCCCTGCACCCACCCCTCTGTTTTCAGTGTCAACAATGGGCAGCATGTTGATGGAGGGGAAATCAGGCTTTATTATCATTTTGGATTGAGGGTCTGGGTCCTTCCTTTCCATGTATGTCTTCTTGTCTGCAATGCTTTGTAAAACCATGTGTTTTGGTCCCTCGTCTGTGCCTCAGAGATCTATGTGATAGTTTGAATTACCATATTTCATCTGTGAGACGTCATTAGTTAGAAGTTACCCCATTATTTCATGTGCCGTGAGAAAAGAAAAAAGAATGACAGAAGTATGATATAGTGCTTTCCTGTCACTGAAAATTCTATCTTGAATGTATAGAGAGTTTTTTAAAACTCCTTGAGACAGATTTTTATCATTTTAATATGTTAAGTCGTAAACCCCGGGAAAGTGTTGGATGGCGTTATAAGGCATTGATGATTCTCCGTCAAAGTGGTTTCGAAGAGGTCAACCCTGGACATGAAGAAATGTTAAAAACACCTTAACCACTGTGTATCACGTAATTTTCCCTTTATGATTTAAATTATTTAACTATTTAAATTATTTTATTATGTAAATATCTTATTATTTTATTTATTATTATTTAAAAGGAAACTCCATGACACTGATGGGTTAAGGTATTTCCTATGTACTATCCCAGGTGCTGTTGATAGAAAATTTTATAAAACTCATCCACAATTGTTAATGGAATTTCCTCCTAAGCCACCAACATGTTTATATAAGTTTTCATCAGAGCCTTTCTTGATCTTATCATCAGCCAGGATTTATATTGCTTCCTAAAATAATCCTTAAGAGATTTGCAGTTCATTCCTTCATAATACCAGTAATAGTACAGATGTTCATGTTTGCGCAGATAATAACCATTGTCATGAGCTGCTTGGCTAACAGTAATTCTAAGGCTGTTGATTGCAAGACAAATTCTGATCTCGTGATGTTACATCTGCGCTAACCCTGCACCTCGGGATTAATGGAGCAGGTCTAGCATCTCTCCTCATGGCAAATGGGGTTTTTCCTTGCAGGCTTAGCCCTTGCTTTTTCCTGAACTATTTTTCTTTCCTAATCCTCCCTGATTACAAAACCTACAACAAAAATTTTCCTTCCATTTTTTTTTGTTTGTTTGTTTTTTATTTGTTTCCTCGTACTTGTTGTTTTCTTGTCAACCAACTTTCCAAACTTTTTTACCAAGAGCTCATAAAGGACTTGACCCTTTTTTGTTGCTGACCAACTCATGGGCTGCACATGTGGCAAAACTCTGTAGAAAGTATTTGCCTAGAAAAAACCTGGAATATTGGATTCTCCCTGGCAATCATCAGGGCACAATGAGGGACTCGCGGAATGAGGGAATCAAAGGGGTGCTCTGAGGAAGTCAACACTCTAAATGCATGGGAATGAGGGTATTGCCTCCGGGGTGCCCGTGGAGTTGTGTCTCTCCATGGCTGCCTATTGCATTATTTTGAGGCTTGCTGTCTTGTCAATATCACCAAATGATCTTTGTCCTGTAAGGAATTAAGAAAGACCCTCCTCACCTGTAATGTGAGAGCAGCCTGGGAGCCAGGCAATAAATTGTGACAATATCAGAGTGCTGTGTAGACCCCTGGCTCATATGGATTTGTTTGCAGTCATCTAATGCCCTGTACTTTTTTTTCTTTGGTTCCCAACAGCTGTTAATGATTGAGGTGGCCAGCAAAAATATCAGCCTACATAATTTCATTTCATTGACATGGAAAAGCACTCTGTGAATTTTAAGAGCAAGAGCCTGTGAATGACTTTGGAACTACTTACACCACTTGCTTGCAAAATGATTGTGTGTTGCTAATTGGTTCATGCCCAGCAAGGGTAAAATCTTTCATTAATTTTGTTGTATGTTTCGTCTGTGTCTTAGCCCTATGGGATAGGCAGTAGGGAGGTGTGGAAAATCGATGGGTTACCTTAATGTGTCTATGTGATTAGTATGGTATCTATTGTTCATTGTACATTTACTGAAGATGAACTGGGTCTGAGGGGAAGTGTGTGTGTGTGTGTGTGTGCATGTGTATGTGTGTAACCAGGAAATAGGTCCCACTCTCCTGCTGAATACACAAAAAAAAGCTTTCCAGGAGAGTTTTCAGGCCCTCGAGCTAACACTCCAAGAAAGTATCTAGAAAGGGCATCTAATGGGTGGCTATACAGAGAGGGGCATGCTATGTTGGGAGCAGGATCTAAGGGGAAGACAAGGCAAACACAAGGAAAGGTAAGCAGGAAAGATGGGTAGAAACAGATCGTGATACAAAAGGAGAAGACAATGTTAAATGATCAGGAAGATTAGCCTCAAGGGGAGGAGAAAGGAAGAACCAAGTCACTTGAAAACAAGAAGAAGGGCTGCAATGGTTCTCAACCTTCCTAGTGCCGTGACCTTTTAATGCAGTTTCTCGTGTTGTTTGTGGGCGTATCTGCATGTTTGTGGATGGCCAGGAGACGGATAGAGGAGCGGTGTCTTTGTTCCTAAGACCATCGGAAAGATGTGTTTTCCAATTATCTTAGATGACCCCTGTGAAAGGGTCGTTCGAACCCCAAAGGGGTTGCAACCCACAGGTTGAGACCCACTGGCTTAGGGGAAACAAAACATGGGAGTAGGGGTGAGGAGGCCATGTAAGAGGCAAAACCAAAGGAGTTTGAATGTAAAAAAATTAACTTATTTTTGCAGTGGTGAGCTTTGAAATGTGTAAATCATACTTCTCGACTCTGTGCCTGTGTATCATTACCGTTTACATACATGCATGCAACTTCTGTGCCAGAGCAAAATAAAACAAGCATGTTTACAAGAGAGTTTGAATTTTGTGATGCTTTGATCATGGGTAACATTAGTTCGGGTTAAGGCTTCATCATGTTCGGCAAAGTCTTGCAAATGGGTCTTGTTTTCTCTTGGCACCAGGGTACCTGCAGGGTCATCCACCCAGGGAATGGTTCATTTTGGGAGGACCAGCCCTCTTCCTTATGCCTGTGGAGTGGCTTTCCATACAGTTTAGGGTTGTGGAAGAGGATTCTCGGGTTGTTTTAATCATCAGAGCAGTCGCTATATGCGGTGAAATAGCAACTCTGGGAAAACAAAGATGGTTTACCCCTTGGTTAAAACACCAGATGGTTAAAATTGGGCATCAAGAAATTATATATGAATGTTTGAAAGGGATACTTACTTTTAGGGTGACTGGAAAATGAGTGTGTTAGCCCTGGCCGGTTTGGCTCAGCGGTTACAGCATTGGCCCAGGGACCAAAAAGTCGTGGGTTCGATTCCAGTCAAGGACATGCACCTTGGCTGTGGTTCATCCCTGGCCCTAGTTGGGGTCCTGTGGGAGGCACCCAGTTGATGTGTCTCTCTCACACTGATGTTTCTCTCTCTCTCTCTCCCCCTCCCTCCCACTCTATCTGAAGATAAATGGAAAAATATCCTCAGGTGAGGATCAATAATAAGAAAATGAGTGTGTTAGAAATGAATGTGTTTATTTCCCTATGTTTTGTTTTTATTTTAACACCAGGAAGCCACATTGTGCTTGTGTATTCATATATCCGTGCTGCATAAACCTACAGAACAGAATATTGTTAAACTGGCTTAGAGCCCCTAATTGCAAAATAAGGGGCTTGTGGATGAGGGCTTGAGCTAACTCTGCAACTAGTGTGAAATGTGGGAAAGTAACCATGGGAATCCTTTGACCCAGAAAGGTAGGAAATGTATTAACTCTCTTCTAATCCAACCACGGAGGCTACCGGGAGACAAGCAATGTTTATTGATATTTGAGAAATATTTTAGGTTATCACCAAGGGCATATTGGTGGAAATTGGCTGTGGCTGCCACAGAATACTCAGGGAGAGCATTTCTGACTGGAGAATTTGATTGCCAAGTCCCTAGGTGAGTCATAAGAGGGTTGGCAATATTTATAGGGTCACGGAACCCCTGACAGTCAGGTGAAGTGCACGAACCGCTGCTAGGAATGATGTTTTTAAATGCATAATGTAAAATGCAAAAAATTTTAAAGGAATCCTATTGCATTAAAATACACAAATGCAAGTATTTAAAAATTTAGTATAGTACTACATGAGGTGTTTGTTTTTGCTCATCTTAAATTTTGTTTCCAGCAACTCCTTCACATCTCCTTACCACATCCCGGGACAGGCCTGCATGATTCCAGTTTTTGCTCCTGGGTTTAAGCAATACCATCTCCTCTGTTCCTATAACTCAAGGGCAGGAGCAGCTTCCTAGTACTGTGTAACCACTTTGTGGTCTCACTGTCCCTGGTTGACTTCTCATCCACTCCTCATCTACTTGTTAAGTCTATACATTAATTCCCCTTTAAAACAACAACAACAACAATAGCAACAACAACAACAACAACAACACACCCACAGAGCATAGAGGATTGTGTTTTTTGCTTATACCTGACCTGCACAGTAAAATTAGGAGCTTACTTCAAGGTAAGAGTTCTTCTTATTTTAATTCATATTGAAATAGAATTCAATGGCTATTAGGAGGTTTTTTTCTCTATCATTCATTTATATGTGTGTGTGTGTGTGTGTTATTGTGAATAATGCGGCAATGAACATGGGGGTGCATGTATCTTTTGAATTAGTGTTTTTGTTTCCTTCAAATACATACCTTGAAGTGGAACTGCTGAATTACATGATAGTTCAATTTTTAATGTTTTGAGGAGTCTCCATACTATTTTTCCACAGTGGCTGCATCAATTTACATTTCTACCAACAGTGCACAAGGCTTCCCTTTTCTTCACATCCTCGCCAGCACACGTTATTTCTAGTCTTTTTGATGATAGCAATTCGAATAGGTGTGAGGTGATACCTCATTGTGGTTTTTATTTTTATTTATTTTTTTTGGGGGGGGGTGGAGAGAGAGAGAGAGAAAAACATCTGTGTGAGAGAGACACATCGATTGGTTGCTTCCACATGACCCCGACCAGAGATGGAACCGAAAATGAGGCATATGCCCTTGACTGGAATCAAACCCGAGACTCTTTGGTCCATAGACTGACACTCTGACCACTGAGCCAAACCAGCCAGGGCTCATTGTGGTTTTGATATTTAATGTCGATAATTAATGATGTGGAACATTGTTTCATGTACCTATTGGTCATTTGTATGTCTGCTTTGGAAAAATGTCTGATCTGCTAGTCTTCCCTTTTTTTTTTAATTGGATTTTTTTTCCTACTGAGTTGTGTGTTTTGGCTGTTAGCTCCTTATATGATTTGCAAATATTTTTTCCCATTTAGTAGGTTGCTGTTTCATTTAATTGATAGATTCCTTTGCTGTGCAGAGCTTTTTAGTTTGATGTAGTTTCATTTGTTTATTTTTGCTTTTGTTTTGGTTTTAAAAGTTTTAAAATTATTGCCAAGATCTATGTGAAGGAGCTTACTGCCTATGATTTCTTTTTTTAAATTATTTTTATTTATTTTTGCTACAGATGTTTCTCCTTTTTCCTCCATTGACACCCTCTTCCCCATCCCCCCACCCCATCCCCAGCTTTGTTGTCCATGTCCATTGGTTATGCATACATGCATATAAGTTCTGTGGTTCATTTCTTTGCCCCCCTCCTCTGAGGTTTGTCATTCTGTACCCCACTTCTATGTCTCTGGGTCTATTTTATTCATCAGTTTGTTTAGTTCATTATATTCCACAAATAAGTGAGATCATGTGATATTTGTCTTTCCCTGCCTGTCTTGTTTTGTTTAGCATAATACTCTCCAGGTCCCTCCATGTGCCTATGGTTTCTTCTAGGAGCTTTATGGTTTCAGGTCTTACTTTCAAGTATTTAATCCATTTTGAGTTAATTTTTTTGTCTATGGTATAAGATAGTGGTCCAGCATTATTCTTTTATATGTGGCTGTCCAGTTATCCTAACAATATTTATTGAAGAGGCTGTTCATTCCCCAGTGTATATTCTTGGATCTGTTGTTCTATATTAGTTGACCATATATTTTCAGGTTTAATTCCAGGCTCTCTACTCTGTTCCATTGACCCATGTGTCTGTTTTTATGCCAATACAATGCTGTTTAAATAACTATAGCTTTGTAATATAGTTTGGAATCAGGAAGTGTGATGCTTTGGCTATTTGGCTATTTGGGACCTTTTATGGTTCCATACAAATTTTAGGATATTTTCTGTAAAAAATATCATTGAAATTTTAATAGGAATTGTACTGAATGTGTATACTGCTATGGGTAGTATGGACATTTTGACAATATTAATTCTTCCTATTCATGAATACAAAATATCTTTTAGTTTATTTGTGTCTTCTTCAATTTCTGACATTAATGTCCTGTAGTTTTCAATATAAGTCTTTCACCTCCTTAGTTAAATTTAATTGTAGGTATTTTTTAAATGTAACTATAAATGAGATTGTTTTCGTAAGCTGTCTTTCTGAGAATTCATTATTAGTGTATAGAAATGCAACATATTTTTGGCATTGTTTTTGTATCCTGCAAACTTTACTGAATGTATTTATTAGTTCTAATAGTTTTTTGATAGAGTGTTTAGGATTTTTCATAAATATAATATCATGTCAACTGAAAATAGTGACAGTTTTACTTCTTCCTTTCCAATTTGATTGCCTTTTATTTATTTTCTTAACTAATTATTCTGGGGAGGATTTCCAGCAGTATATTGAATAAAAGCGGCTAGAATAGGCATCTCTGTCTTAGTTCTGATCTTAAAGAAAACGCTTTCAGCTTTTCACAATTGAGTTTGTTGTTAGATGTGGGCTTGTTATATATGGCCTTTATTAT